TGTTTTTGTTACTTTTATATTTCACAGCACTTTTGTTCAGTCAGTGTTATTTAGATTGTGCTTTATAAACATACTGATATTAACAAGCTGGGCGACAAAGAATACATCCATACAATCAGAAGCATTCCCTATGAACAATCATTGTATGGCAAGCTGCTTGAAGGAGTGCTGTATTCTATGTGTTTGGTAATTGTTAGCAGTTTTTTTGTTGTTGTTGTTGTTGTGCAGGCCTTCAGGACTCTGGGGCTGCCTTTCCAGCTCCTTCCTGTTAGCCTCCTCGCTTGCACCTATTTTGACCTTAAGTTGCCTGTCCTCAGTAATTCCGTGTTCCCTTCCTGAAGGCTCTTTTTCTTGTTTAGCAGTTTTCAGATCACTAGTCATCCAGGGTTTATTAAACACACTGTAATTCTGTGTCATGGAGTTATCCCCATGTAGCTATAGCCTTAAAGCAACCTTGGATGGCTTCTTCAGCATCTTGTGACCATCTTTTTACAATCACTTTTAATGCAGGTTGCTTCTTATAAAGAGGTTTATACTGTACATTAGTCTGAGCAAAGAAAAAGGAGAACAATGAGGTCTTATTTAAGAGAAATGTGATAGCCCAACATTTGCATAATGTTTTGTTGTTCTTGTACAGCAGCAGATAAACTTTAGAAACATCGAAAATGTAGCAGAAAGTGAGGCGAATTTAAATTTATCAATCATTGCCACAACGGCATTTGACTGCTGTGTCTGCAGATTACAAACAATGGCACTGATGCCATTACACACACTTTTGGAAGGTGGAATATAAACAGTTGTCAAAACAACAGCGGTAAACTCTCTTGGTTAAAGATTAAATTTTTCAGTAACATGTCATGGATAGCACCATCTGTTGTTCACAAACACTCCCAACATACCTCTCTGAATTTTACAGTCTTTTTCAGATCTCTGTTTGCTCGTATGGTCAGAAAGCCTGGTGTAGAGATACTGGAGTCCAGGATATAATCTTGTAGCCATGTTTTAGTAAAACACATAATATTGCATTCTAAATATGGCTGGGTTCTTGCTAGGGCTTGGAGTTTTCTTACTAAATCCCTGTGAAATCCTACATTGCCCGTTACGATTGATGGAATACATTGCTTTTATTTTCTCCTCCTCTCTCTTCTCCTTTGACCTGCTTTGCATCCTGTGGAAGTAGTTGAAGTGCTATTTTAGCTTTGAGGATGTTGCTTATGTATTTGCATTGGTTGTTATGGCTATTGGTACACATTATTATTTTTTTGTCCAAAAATGAAAAGAGTTTGGCATAAATCATTTCAGTTGTATAGCATCTAACACCAGGGGGAAAAATCCTTACGAAAAGAGACTTTATTTCAAAATTGGGGAATTGGAGGTCTTCAAAAAATGATACCAAAATAAAGCTAGCAGAGTTACTGCATTAGCAGATACTATGAGCAGAGCAGTGCAAAAAAAAAAAAAAAAAAGCTTGTAAAAATGCTCGCTGGAGCAGAGTCATCATCCACAGTCAAACCAGTTTTGTCTGTAAAAGTTTTGTTTTGTTTTGTCAAAAAATAACATAAAACCCTAACTATACTTTCCAAATTAAGTCAAAGACAAATGCATTTTCACTTAGCTGTGTCCAATGGTCTGCTAGTACAAAAAAGTGTTTATAATAAAAAAAAATGGCTGAGTTAAATTCAAGAATGTGTATGTAGGAGTTTCGCTGCAGGAGTTACTGGTGTACCTTAAAAAAAATGGTGTTAAGTGAATATAACTTCATCTGGATATTTTTAGGTAAAACCTCATAATTGAAACATCTACAACGAAGTTAAAATGTACAAATGGATGATGACCCCCATTATGATGGCAATTTGTTTCATAGTAGTTAAGAGCAACAAGTTCAAGAAACCTGAATGAGATATGCTAATTTGGTCAGAAGTAATTGACCACTATTCTTTCAAACTATTCTTGTGAATCTTGTGCAATTAAAAAACAACAAAATTTAAATGTATTGCCAACCTAAAACAGGTAGAATTTAGAAAATGTTTATCAAACAGGAAACTATGTTTGATATAACAGTGTTTGCAAACATCGAATTTAAGAATAAAGAGATGCCCAGATTTTGTGGTTTAGCATGACCTAAAACTAATTGACTGGATTTCAAATATTCCTCAAAGGTGTGACAGAGAAAGATATAGAATAGGCATGAATAAATGTGTTAAAACCGGTTTGGGGATAGTGAAATGACCTCAGACCTGAACCGGGCACCAGACAGAGTCCGCTGGCACATAGAGCAGCTGTCATTGTTCATCTGGGGCGCGAGTATCTGCCAGAATCTGTCAGATGTTGGCTGTAAGACTGAGGAGCCACACTGCTTTCTTTTCATCCCCAAACATCCCTTGTGGCACAGTAAAAAGCCCTCTTCATGAGAGCTTTGGAACATAGAAAAGCAGAGTGTGAGTAACACAGTTACCTACCTCTGGACTTGGCTTGTCTTCCAGGATTTTAGTTTTAACTTGGGCTGGTCCAGATTGGTCTTTAGAGGTTATTTATCTCTGTCTGTGTTGCTTCAGACAGGTGTCCTTTTTTTCTTGCGCTAATTAAAGCCCAGATGCTTATTATAATGCAAAGCCTTTAAAGTGACCTTTCCAAGATAAAATAGACAGCGAGCCAACAGATCTTTTTTAAATGGAGGTTAATGTCAAATATTTTCTGTACGTTCTCTTTTTCCGTTTTCTTGTGTTTCCCAGAAAAATTATTTTTCCACCAAATGTTTGGAATTTAATCTCTGTACAAATTTTAAAACATACCATGTAAATGCCTTCCTTTAAAGAAAGTGAAAATCTATTTTCAAGTTCAACTGCAAAAACAAGATTGGCTTGTTTGACTTTTCTATATAGAGACTCACTCTGTTAAGAAAGAAAGAGAAGAATTTCTAATCCTGTGGGAAGAAAAAAGTTAATTTAGTTTTTTGCAGTAATGACTCAGAGGTATTAAATGTGAGGAATTCAATCCTAGAGAAAGAATAACACTAACAGACATGGTCTGTTATCCCAGTCAATAGCCACCTCTTCAAACCCCCCAGCGAGAGAGAAATATGTTCCAAGACTTAGAAGAAAAGGCTCTGAATGATTTGCGAGTTTTACGGATGAAGTCACCAGTCGCATGATGCAGTAAGCAGTTATGTTGTGTGGAATTAGACACGGAATTAATGTTTTCTTCCAATGTCAGACATTAAACCTGCAGAATACCGCCTGCATGGTGCTGCCTTTCATAACTGCATTTTTAGCAGTCTTATAGTAAACCTTAATGTTTATTAAAAATAACAACTTTAATTTGTTATTTTGCCTTTTGTTATAATTCTTAGCAGCCCAATGCTGCCAAGGTGATTTAAGATGTATGTTTCAAAAACGATCAGAGCCTTTGCTATGAATGTATAAACACTGACCCCTGCTGGTCATATTGCAAACATAACATATTTATGGTCTAATCTGATAAGGACATCATTTTGGAAAATGTAAGCATTAAAACAAGTGGTTTGTAAGGAAACTAAACCTTATTACTCTGAACTGAAGCCTATAACTGTAAAAGCATATGCAAAATATTTAGATCATTTATACTTAATTATTAAGATTTGATTATTGAATTAAATTTAAAATCTAGGGTATGCATTTGTTTTCAGTTGACTCTGCATAGAACCATATTTTCTTACAACTAAACATGTTTTGGGGTTTGTCTCCAACACATTTTCACATGTAAGAAATCATTGCATTCCTATTTGCAATGGAGAGGCATTACCATTACTCATCATAATATATAAATATGCTTTAGTGTAGCTCAAACTGTACATTTATGGTAGCTGTTTTGCCTGAGCGGCAGCCCCCACCCCGATCTTATACTTACAGTATCACGCGCTCTAACAGGTTTCCTTTCAGGATTGATCTGTATTTAGCTCCCTTCATTCTACTGTCTCACTATCCCTGCTGAATGAAAGCACACTGCATAATAGTTTAGCCTCCATGTATCACATTGTAGATGATAGGTTGGAGGTGATGTGCAGTGTGAAAGCAAAAAAAAAAACAGATGACAGAACATCCTCTTTGTGGCATTTACTCTTACCTCCAGAGGTTTTTATAAATTTCAAACAGGACTTCTTGAAACTTTATTTCAACAATTCCTTTCATATTTCAACTTTTTCACAAAGGCCAGATTTGTAAATCACACCACCAGTTGCTTGATGTAACTTCCCCAGAACTACAGTGCGCTTCTTGGATGCTTCTCTCATCAATGCCTAACTAGCCCAGTCTGGTCAGGTGAGGCGGACAGCCATGTTTTGGCACTGTAGGATTGTGGTTCGACTCTTATCTTCCATTTTCGGATGACGGACTCAGCAGTGCTTTATGGTATTGCTTTATAACCCAACCATGGCTTAAACTTCTCCATGATGTTATCCTTTATGTACCTGCTACATTCCTTTGATTCATAGTTTATTAAAGTTCTCTAAACAACCTCCTAGGTCTTCACAGAACAATGATGCATGTAATTATTTACTTATTTTAAGCAATTATAAACAAGGGAATGCTATTTAAGAACTGTGTTTTTCTGAAAATTTATCGAAAGGCTCTCTTTTTTACATATGTGTCAGATTAAAAGGGGGGAATTAATTTGATTTGTACTTGTAAAGAAATGATAAAACCTACCCTTCTCAGTTCAGGACTGTATATTAAGATCTATCAGCAGACTAACTCTGACAAAAGAGTATCAAACTTTATCATTCTAATTTTACTTGATTTATTTAAAGGTGGTTGTGTGTCCAAATATTTGTTTCAAGGCAGTTTAAAAACATTTTGGTTCTGTCTTTTTAAAGATGATTCTCTGACTTTTATGAATTCGGGAATCATGAGAAAATAACACATTTTATTTGATTGTGACTCGCTTCAAACCTTTTCTCGTTTTTAAATCTGCCAACCTATGAGTTGGTCTCAATCTAACCGCACTTTATATTTATCCTGTCACAGTTTGAAGGATGCAACAAGGCTTTCTCTCGGCTTGAAAACCTGAAGATCCACCTGCGCAGCCACACAGGGGAGAAGCCCTATCTGTGTCAGCACCCAGGGTGCCACAAAGCGTTCAGCAACTCAAGTGACAGAGCTAAACACCAGCGAACACACCTGGACACAGTGAGTGGTAGCTCATAACAATCAAACTGTATAATTAGAGATGTTATTTCAATTCTTTGGATCAGTATGTGCTCACCTACAAGGTTTATATGTCCGTGGTTGTGCAGAAGCCATATGGCTGCCAGGTTCCTGGGTGTGCAAAACGTTACACTGACCCCAGTTCTTTGAGGAAACATATGAAGTCCCATTCTACCAAAGAGCAGCAGTTAAGAAAGAAGGTGAGTTTACTAACTTTATTTCAGTGTCACATGTATATATTGCATTTTCTTCATGTGTCATATATATATATATATATATATATATATATATATATATATATATATATATATATATATATATATAAAGCATAATGGGAGATTCAAATTTCATGAAAAATAATGTGTGATGTGTTTGTAGAAGAGCTCAGGCATTTGTCTTTAGAGGCTTATGATGAAAAATTAACTTCACTTTCTCAACATGACAGCTGTGCACATGAAATAAGCCTCTCTAACATACAGTATGTGACATATTTCATTTCATTGTGCTTTCCTTCATCCTAATTAGCTCTGTGACAGGCTTTCCATCCCACTCACTTAGCTGTGGAACTTAACTGTACACAGAAGATCATTATCTTTAATTAAAGGTGTGCATGCAGTTAGAAATGACTAGCAGTAGGGTTTGTCAATTTATGCACACTTAGGTTAACAGAGGCAGAAAAGGGTCTCACAAAATGACTCAGTCATGTTTGTCTTCCTTGTGTTTTCCCACTGAGGCGCACTCCATTAAAAGTTGCACTTTACAGTAGTGCAATTTTGCTATTAGGATTTTTGCATCTGAGTAAAAAAAGGTTTTACATTTTCAAGCGTGTGTCATCTTAGATTCTAACAAGATAATTGGGAATTTGCAAAGATATGTTTGGTTTTATTGTCATTGTCATCAAAAGTCAAAAAGCCTTTATTGTACAAAGATAGTTTCTTGTCATATTTGGGTGTCAAATGCAGTAATGTGAAGCTATTAGACGAAGAGGTAGACAGAATGGTTTTGCGCAGGGCAAGCAGGATATGAAGCAGAGGGGGGGAAACAAAGAATCAGATGTGAGAAAGGCTCTTTACATAAAAATAAAAGAATTTAACTATGAACAAAAAACCACTGAGTTAATATACTCAGCACAACAAATGAACCAAAGTGGTAATCAAAGGAAACCAGGTGCAGCAAGGGAAGGATAAAGAAATGCACATTAAGATAAGGAGATTAATCGAAAGCTCAGTTGATACTAAAAAGAAACTAAAAACCACAGAATAAAAGATAGAGATTCAAGAGAAATATATTTTAACTGCACCAAAAAGGAAAGAACAAATTTAACAAATGAAGAAAAGTAAGAACAAATGCATTGACATATATGACAAGACATTGTGACTTACCTACAGACTTGTTTTTAAACCGGATCCAATTCTTGATGTATCCGATGTATCTGTATATTGAAAGTGTTTACCCACTTTATTATGGGGACAAAAGTTTCACAACATAAACATATAAAAAAAAAAAACAAGATAATGCTGAAAACAAATAAAAAAAACAAAAACATTTAGAGTTCTAATTTGTAAGACTTTTTTTTTTTTTAGAAAGCTGCAATGTGACACCTTTATTGTTTTCTCCTAAAATATTTTTAAAATTTGCTCAAAACACACCAGTCTGAAATAGGCATATTTAATTTCCTGCATAAAGATTATTAGAGTGTGGGATAAGGAAAACTTTCTGCATGTCTTTTGCTTGTTTTATCCTTTTTGCCACATTGTTAAGTTAACTGCCTTTCCTCATATAGTGCAGTTTCAAGTCATGGAACTCCAAAGCGCTTAAGGCTCCATTCAGTCATTCATCCATTCTTGCACTGATGGTAGCAAGCTACACCAGTGATTCTTAACAGAGGGTTTCATACCCCTAGTGGTCATTGCAAGGGGTACATTAAAATGTTTTATTTCTCCGATAATTATATAGGGCTGGGATCTTTTCTACTTTATGAGGACCCAACTAAAACATAAAACAAGCATTTTTAAACCAAAAAGTATGTTTTTCTCTCAGTTCATCTCTAACTTTGACACACATCAAAACCAAGCAGAGGAACAGACTGGTTGTAGAGAACAGCCTGGTATCAGCTGCTTCTCCACTCCTAATCAAAGCAAGCTCAGGTGTCATCAATGATGAAAAGAAAGTAAGACAAATGAAGTCAGTCTTATTATAATTATTGTTCAGTATTTTGTTCTCATTTCATCAAGTTTAAATGTGATTTTATGGGAGTAACTCAGAGAAGCTCCAGTTTTATGAAGGCAGATTAATAGTAGGATTTTATTCTGTATATAATTTGATTCTGCACTAGGTTCCGGGCAACATATTTATGTTGTTTTTTTGTATTTGACTTGGGAAAAATAACCTGCCAATTAATGAAATGCTAAAGTTAAAAAGATTAAATACAATACTTTTTATTTTATAATCCACTTTTTAATCAATACCTTTGACTGAGAGGGTGCTCATGGTAGGACAAATTGCGCAAAGGGGTACACAAGTCAAAAAAGGTTAGGAAACATTGAACTACACTGTAGAACAGAAGCTGCGAATATCCCACGATATTCTTCATTATTTATTTGATTGCATTGATTGAGTACTGCAGACAAACACTTGCCAGAGTTCAGGTCAGAAGTTAAGATTTAACAATAAGATATAAACTTAACAAAATCATTTTGATGGCAAAGTTTAAAATGCTAACAAATTTCCCAAAATACATGATCCCCAAAACCTTTGAGAAAATTTTCTGTGGACTGCAGAGGCAAAAGTGAACATTTTTGGAAGGTGATCATCCTGTTATATCTTCCATACCGTAAATTAATATACTATTTAAGAAAGAAAAAAAAAACATGCTTCTATTAAAACGTGGAAGTGGAACTTTAAGGGAATGCTTTACTTCCTTAGGACCTGAAAACTAGTTGCTATTGTTGGAACCATGAAAACTGTAAGGCCATCTGTTTATGACTTTACCTGCTGTTATATGACTTTAAGGAATGCCTTTTATCCTTAAAACCAGTGTAGCTGAATGAAAACATTTCTGCTTTAAAGAGAGGATCAAAATCCCTCCTCAGTGACTTGATGGAAGTTACTACATAGGTGGCATGAATAGTTATTTTATTTGGGTGAATTTAGATTTTCTAAGGCCTTTTAACTTAAATAATTATTTGTTTAAAAATGCAAATAATTTAAAAACTGTTGTATTCACTTGGATATTCGTTGTTGTTTGCATGTCAGAAGAAGCAAAGTCTGAGAAGTAAACTTTTCCTAATTTACTCTGAAACTTAAAACATCCTGAATTGCATTGCCTATTAAATAAAGCTATCAATAAATATTAGGCATTAACACAAAGTCAAGGCATTTATTAGATAAGCAAAATGATTATCAGCCAAGTTTAGATAATATAAGTTTTTTAATCTTTACCAGTGGTATTCGGATTGTCCTTACATGCCTCTGGATTCATAAAACATCTGATAAACAGATGCTTTATTTGATTTCTGCACATTTTCTAAAATGTTGAAGCTGATGACTCATTAGATGAGGCTTTCACACTTTTCATCAGCAAAAAATGACTAAAGTAAAAAATTTATGTAGCTTTTAATCAATCATGCATGACGGCTTTAAGCCAATTCAAAGTAGCCTTGATTCAGGGTTGTCGGCTGATTTCAAACATTAACTGCATTCTACAGATTAGCTTTGACTTTTATAATGAAAATTCCAGAAAATTATTAATTTGTTATGTTATATGTAAATATGTGCTTTCTACTGGTCACATCTTCTGAAAACATCATTGTCTCAATGCTTGGTTTATCGGTTTATTTCTTTATCTATTTGTATTGTAGTATGTAGTAGCAGTGAAAACCACGTATAAGAAAGTTATTTGTCCCATCAGCCATATTTTTTCTAAGTCACCTTTATTTGGTTTTCTTTGTTATATCTGTCATTGTTAACAGCTGAGGGGCAGGAGAAACATTATTTTCTGGGGCACAAGGCCACAGGGAAGGATGTGGTCATCGTGAAAAAATTCCCTGAGAACAATCTTACAAAAAGTGGTTTGGATCAGTTTCCTTAATTTTATAGCAGTAGAAGTAAATAGTTGCAGACCTGCTCAGTGACTTTAGACTTACACAACACGTATTGTCATTTTGTATACACAGAGTCTATACAAAAAGAAATTTCATTTTTTTACAGCTTTCATGAAATTTTCTTTTCTTAAAGTGCAGCAGTGATCAAATGTAAACAGTATAGGAGAAAAAAAAACATAGTGCAAAAAAAAGTGTATTGATACGGAAGTTCAGAGCATTAAGTATATATGGTGCTATTATATAGTGTTTTGGTTTGATGTTGTCAGTGTGATGCAGAGTCTGTGACATGATTTATAGTTTTCCCAATAGTTCAGCAGTCTGATGGCGATAGGGAAGAAGCTGTTTTGGATTCTGCTGGACCTGCATAAAATGTTGCAAAGCCTCTTCCCAGAGGGCAGCAGGGAGAACAGTCCATGCAAGGGTGTAAGCGGCTTGGGACACGCAGCGCTGGGATGAAATGTCTCTTATTGAGGGAAGAGAAGCCCCTATGATCTCTGCTGTCTCACCACTCTTCTCAGCTTCTTCCAGTCTGCTGCACTGCAGCAACTGCACCAACAGTGAGACAGCTGGTCAAAACAGTTTCTATAGTGCTTCTGTAGAAGGTCGGGTGGGGTAGATGGGCTCTCCTCATCCTCCGCAGGAAGTACATGTGCTTTTGTGCCCTTTTGACCAGTGGAGTGGTTCCGTCGGTAGGCGAACTAGAACGGGTCGAATGTTGGCAGCAGACTGGAGCAATGTGTTCTTTTACCAGCCTTCAAAGGACTTCATCATGATGCGATAGGCCGGGAGTAATTGAATGAGGTGACCTGAGGCTTCTTTGTGACCAGAATGATAATAGCAGACTTAAAGCATGCTGGCACTATAGATTGTTCCAACGAGGTGTTAAAGATGTCTGTGAGGACACCAGCAAACTGACTTGCACATTTCTTGTACACCTGCCCTGGTATGTTATCGGGGCCTGGGGCCTTTCGTAGGTTGACTCTCCTTAGAGTTTTCCTCACTTTAGCTACATCCAGGTTGAGTGCCTCCTCTCCTTGGTGTGGAACAACTTTCACTGCTGGAGTGCTGTTTAGTGCCTCTAACCTTCAAAAGAAGTTTTTTAGTTCATTTAGGAAGCATCAGCAGCATCCAACAGGAGGGGAGGGTGTGTTGTAGTCTGTGATTGCACATATGCCTTGCCACATCCTCCTGGTGTTGCTGGTTTTATGGAAGAGATCCTGGATCTTCTGGCTTTGATTCTGCTTTTCTGATCTGATACATTTCAAGTTGGCACTGTCCTCAGTGCCCCTCTATTGCAAGCTTTGAAAGCTTAGTTCCATGCTTTTAGCGATTTCCGAAACTCCCCTTTCATCCAGGGTCAATGGTTTGCCGGTGGCTATGTTCTTTGTGATCCATTTGCTCATGTAGGATGACACAGTCATGGCACACTCATCTATATTTATTTTGTTGTCATAGGTTGCTGCAGCTTTGAACATGTTCCACTCAGAGCATTCAAAACAATCCTGGAGTTTCTCCATGGCCCCCTCAGACCACACTCTGACTTCCTTAACTGTTGGTTTCCCCCTGATTAGCTGGGGCCTGTATGCAGGAATTAGCACGACAGAAAGGTGTCTGATGACCTGAGGTGGGGCCGGAGCAGCGCAGAATGCATCTTTGATGTTAGAGAAGGCTAAATCTAAAGTTTTTTGACCCCGAGTTGCAAAGTCCGTATGTTGGTAGAAATGAGGGAACACAGTCTTCAAGTTAGCTTGGGTAAAATCCCAAACAATGACGAAAACGCCCTCTGTGTATGCAGGTTGAAGCTCAGAGATAGCCTGGTATAGAGTCAGTGTTAGCATAAAAATACATTAGGTACCGAAAGAATAAACTTCCTGTCTGACTTTTATGTTCTCGATCTCTGTTTATGTTTACCTTTTTTGTGTTGGTTCTATAGATGAAATCGTCTGCAAATGCAACCCAAGACATGCTGACCGACTGTTTAACTATTCACTCTCTACATTCCAACCTTTCCCCTCTGGCGAGGATAGACAGCTTGAACCCAGCTCTTGGTGCGTCTCATGAGTCATACTTTTGTATATTTATGCTCTAACTGTTTGCATAAATGCATTTAATATTGGAAATAAAGACATCCAAAACAACAACATATGCAATTAAAACCATATAATAGGTTTCTTGATTCGATTCTCAGCCCTGAAGTATCTGTCATTTCTGTTCCAAAGGTGCAACACAAGGACAGGATACTTATAACAGTTCCCAGCTGGCTCAGATGTTCACAGTACAAGATAACTACAGGTAATAAACACCTTTAGATATTTTCATCACCATAATTTATGTTTTTATATGTTTCAAATATTTTTGCATTTCTGGAAGTACTGGTTAGCATGTCAATGAATCCCTACTTCTTTCAGCTGTGCATTCCAATTCTAGTTCTTGCTTTCAAGAAAATGTCAGCATTACTTGAAAAATAACTCGCTCTCTGTTCACCGCAAATTTGAATGCAGGCATATCTTTCAATGATGGTAATAATCAAACATTCGTTGCCATGGATTCAAGGTTCCAAATTTATAATTGTAATAATAGTAATAATTAGGAACAAAAATATTTTCTTAAAAGTTATTAAGTTTTGTTTTTTATTGTATTTCACATTTATTTATACAACTAAATCTCTATGAGATATGAGATCTCATATTGAAGAGAGTGACTCATTTTAATTAGACTGACAAAATATATTAAAACAGACTGGAGTCAGTATGATTCATACCAGAAAAAAAAGAAAGCAGCAATAAAACATTTAGCCAACCAGTGATTTTTATTATTTGTTGTTTAATGTGGGTTTGTGTAGTGGATGTTACAAAAAAAGGGAGCTTTTCACATGTAATGGCCAGAAACATTATTCACTTGTCAACCTGGGCAAAATGCCTCTTCATCAACTCTTCTTTTCAAAGAAGCTAACAAAGGATTTTTTTGTCCTCATGAGCAGCCAGATGCTTACGGCTCCTCAATGGTTGGGATTGTTCTCAGACCAGCGGTGAGCCAAAGCTTTCACTGCGGGATGTCTGAGCAGACAATCAGCCTGTGAGAGAAGTCCTCGCCTTGACTCATTGGTCTCAACCACTTGCCTCAATGGATGCTATAGCCACCACCAAGAGCTGCTGAGGAATTCAATGACTGAATCATAAAATCCAGAAAATACCATTTATGCTCTAATGAAAGAAGAGAGACAAGGCTGTAGTTAGTTTTTTTTAGTTGCTAAATCAATTGTAAAATCTTCTGAGGATTTTTTTTGTCTACTAACACACAATTCTGAGTCTAATAGTTCATCTCATTTTCATGTAGACTTAAAAATTATTCAAACATTTCAAACATGCAGCAGCTACCGAATTATAAAAAAATACAGATCTATCTGTCTTCCTTTTCTCAGAAGGGTATATTATCAAGGTTATTCCTCAATAATAGGGCTTGATGTTATTAAGTTTATTTTATGGATAAACTAACAATGTTCAAGCTGTTAACTGGCCACCACCAAAATCACCAAAAACGATTTTTTTAAATGCCTGAAAAGGCATTATACTATCTACTATTGTTTATAAATAATAAAATAATTCAACTTTATTGATCTCACATTGTAGAAATTTATCCCTGTGTTTAATCCATCCCCTTGGGGAGCAGTGGGCTGCCATTGTTGGGTGCCCAAGGAGCAGTGTGGGGTTAATGGTCTTGCTCAGAGATCCAGAGTGGCAGTCTATGGAGTGGGGATTGAACTCAGAACCTCAGGATTCCAAGCTCTATGCCCTAACCCCAAGGCTGCCCCTCCCCTACTAGGCCGCCACTCTCTTTTAACCCTTTGGCGAATCTAGCCTGCCATATAGAGGCACTATACTGGCAGAGAGTAGCCTTATGAGTATTAGTACTTAGTATGAGGCTGCAAATTCGGATTACCAAAACTAACGGGTTTAAGAAAAATATATTTTATTTTTCTTCACCTACTGGACAAACAGGTGCATTTTTTGTGCATTGGCTAGATCCAGTGTGTTTGTTGCACCAATATATGGCAGAAGTAAAGCAGATAGAAAGTCAAAAAGTATAAAAAAAATGCTTTGTTAATTTCCCACAAGGTGTTAAGCACCTTAAAATCAGCCAAACCAAACAATGAAATATCCCAGGTTTTAAGTTTTTGTTTTAATTTATGTGTTTTTCTATTGCCGCTGCCACTCTGTTTCAATAATACTGTTTACTTTACACAGCAGATGATGATTAGCAGATGATGTATATGTAGTTTAAAGTGTTTTTACACAGCAACAGAATTAAATTACTGCAATAAGACAATGCTTTAGAAGAAGTGAGGTAGGGCACTTGTGTAAAAGAAGGGTTTCTTTTCCATCCACACACATATAGAAAATATCGAGACAGAGTGAGAAGGTGATTAGTCAGTGGTTGAGCTGCATTCTAGTTTAACCAATCAGATGTCAGGGTCTGTGTTTTTGAGAGAGCTTGAAATAATTTGTGATTTACCTAAAGCAAATATCTAACAAATTTAATTAGCTACGGTTTCCATCCATAACAATTTTAAATATCATCTCGTGATTTTGATGAGTTCTTATGTATTTCTGTTTAGTTTATTGCAAAATTAGGAAAAAAATACATTTATGTATAATACGTTTCTTTTAATGAAGTTATATATAAAGATTTGCATTACGTTTTTTTTACTGAAGATTGTAACTTAAATACCATGAAACCCTTTGATAATATTTATAAGAGCTGTATTTCTACTTTTTTTTTATTATACAGTTTTACATATATAATAAAACCTTATTCAGTTTCAAATCTCTGTTTATAAAATACATGTTATAATTTTTCATTATGGTATTTAATAGAGTGAACTGGAAGCAGCTGAGGAATATGTTCAGGGTTCTCTTATTTAAAGAATGTATTTTTATTTTCCTCTATGAATAGTACATTTATTCAACCTTGAAATACTTCAGATTTGTTAATCAGCTGATCTCCAGGGACACTTCTGTGCCTTCCTCCTCCACATGTCACCCTCTCCCTACTAGCGGATCAGCACTGCTGAACAACTGTGATCTGAAGCAACTTGGCCAGCCTCCAGAGGTAGCAGATCAGAGCTCAGGTATTCAAAAGTAGAAACAAAATCTAAACTTATCAAAAGAAAAAGCATTTGCACCCCTTGAAATTTGTCAGATTACAAGAAACTTTAGTCTACAGCATATAGATTTAATCTGATGAAACATAGTTAAAATAACTCAGTTTTAATGGGAAGGAAAATGTGCCATTTTTATATTCTTCTTTACTCTAATTCAGTACAAGCAGGAAAGATTTTTTTTATTTTTATTTTTTGTTACTTTGCCAAATGTAAATCATTTAAAGAGCTTTGAACACTTGCAAGGCACAGTAGTTTGTCAAAACCATCACCTGTGCTTTGCCGTTTGTCTTTACAATAAACATTAGGAGCAGATGTCGCTTCTGTACAGCAGCAATCAAGTACCTTTCAAATACTTGTCAGCTCAAAAGGAAATAGTTTCCAACCCAGACTTGACAGCTGCAGAGATCTTGACAAGATTCTCTGGTATCAAGTGTTTGATGTGTAAGAGCAGGACAAGTAAGATAAAGTGGCACTTTCTCCTTTACCCTATAGAAAACTCCTCTAGACCCTGTATTTATGGTAGTGCTTATGGAAACCATCTTTTCTGCAGTAGTCAGTTATCACCATGGCTTGACGTCCTCACAAATAGCCTTTGAAACGCTTTGAGTAGATCATAGAAAGGTGCCAAGGACAAGTACGTTATTGCTGTTTGATTTTCTTCCTCTCCCACTGCAAACGTGTATAAATGTATTTCTGTTTGCAATCTCCTGCAGAATGTGGCGTCCACGTTCGAAATCAAGACGCCTCTGCTTATCAAGAGTTGCATGGCGGGGATTACTTCTGTATGGTGGATCACACTACGAGCAATGTCCCCAGCATTTATACAGAGGCATGAAATCACTGTTGTCAGTGATATCATGCTGATTTATCACTTTATAGCAAATAAATTGTTTAAATGTACAACTATACTGTGTAATCAATTGTGAAAGTCTCAGGAGGGCTGCTTACAGAAGAACTTCAAGGTTTTCATGTTTTTTACATGGTTTCTGAACGTCTTAGATATAACATATGGCAAGTCTTATGTTTTATCCTTTCAGGTGGCATTTTGCACAATGTCAACACTGCAATCAAAGCAAAGTATGCAAGGGATGATTTATTACAGTTTTTTCTTAGAACCGTGTCTTGGTTTCTATAGTAACAAGGCAGCCTTTATTATCTGACAGCAATGTCATACGTATTACTTGTTGCTTGAATGTAGTAATGTGCAATGAGTGTTCCTGTGCTTAGATAATAAGGCAAATGACTGTTTGTGCTCACACCAGTGGTTTTGAATGTTTTATTACCACAAATTATTTAAACTCGACAAATTGGTAAGCCCTCTATTAAAGCATGAAGTAATGCTTTTGGACTTCCTCGTTTTCATTTGTCCATATGGTAAGAGTTACGCTGTTATACTAACCAGGTGAAATCATAATTAGTTGTTTCTTGTTTGTATTTTTACAGATGATCAAAATGTACATTACTTGTTATGTGATTTTAAACTGAATTTTCTAGTTTTGCATAAGAGAAGCAAACAATTTCTTTTATCTCTTTTATGTGTGTTTTATTATATTATGTATGAATTGTCTAAAGATTTATTTTGGAAAAAAAATTTTTTACAATAAATTCCAAGGTACAATAAGTTTTATATTTTAAATTTGAGCCTAAAAGTTAAGATTTTTATCTTTTTATTCAGTAAATGGGACAAAGTCAGGGGAAGTGTCTTAGTGCAGTAGCTTGGAAATTAAACATAGCAGCACCTTACAGATGAATTTTGATACTGCTGTGGGAAGCCCAGTATGGGTGTTATAAACCAAAGTAATGAAAGGCAGTTTGTAACATAACCTGCCATTCAAAACACTAGAATTGCATTATTGTATTTTTTTATTTATTATTTTTTTATGTTATGGCTTTTAAATGCTGTCAACGACAATTGTGATCCTTACGGCGAACACTTTGGTCATTAATGCCTCAAAGCATTACATATTTAGAATAGAAGCAAAAATAAATTCCATTATTATCCCACAGTGGCTAAGAAAATGTTTCTAAATTCTAAGGCTAAAGTGTTTTGGTGGATGATCAGAAGTCGTTTCGCCTTTCCCATGTTTATTGCAACTGATTTCACACATATTTCTTGCATAAACAAAAGGCTTTTTTTGTTTTTTTAGAAGCTGCTTTTTTTTTATGTTATTTCTCTTGAAAATCAAAGAAAGTTTTTTTATTAAATTGAATTGATTAGAACTTAATTGAATTGTGACAGTTGTCCAGATGCTGCTACATCATCAATGTAAAGAAGAATCTTTGTGTTTAAGGAGTTAAACATTTAAAGGCTCTAAGGCTTTAAAGGTAAAGGCCAACAGTGTTCTATTTGTTTAGAGTTCCATTATTCCTATGAAATATAAACTCTATATCAATTCGGAAATTTGCATCATCTCAGCCTTTCTTAACATCCAACCGCCTGGGTCCAGTTGGAATCATCTTTCACATCCACTTAGTTAAAGCTAAAAGGACATACAGTTTTACTCAAATCTTTTACCAAGAGTGTTATGTTTCAGATAGATTTCACTAGTTGCTTAGCAACAACTACGACAGCTTTTCCAAAAAGCATCTGTTTAGTAAAAGCTTATCAAATAAAAAAAAAGTCTTGTGCTGTGGACACAGGTGGTTCGTAAGGCTTTGTAGTTGAAATAAAGCTGCTAAACAATGCGCCTTTGTTTTGTTGCTGCTGTCAGATTTAAGTTTATCATGTATTTTTAGCCCCACTTGTACAATCTGCTCTAAGTTTTTACTTTTAGCTCTAATTTTTTAGTTCTAATTATGTTTGCAAAAAAATAATTAAGGTGAACATATTCTTTGAAGAACAAAATATGCTTGCACAAAGTTAGAATCAAAACCAGCAGTACTAATGAAGAACAAAGTTATTAAACTTCTATATATTTATTATCATTTTACATATTTATAATATGATTAAAAGCAGCACCTTTACAGTGTAGAAATTTCAGAATTTGTTGTTAAAAAACGCAGTAAAGTAAAATAATCTTACAGTGCACAAGAAAACTGTATCATAGAAAAGTATCCAAAATAAAGCCCAAATGGGTAATAGTGTAGTGTTGGGAGTATTATAATAGATTATATTATACATTGAATTTCAATATAGTGCATATATTGAAAGATGAGCATTTTGGCAGAAATAATGCAAACTTGACTAGACAAAAGGGGAATTGATGGAGTTATTTTAAGTTATTAAGCATTACAATTACAACATTACCTGTGTAACTCTGGTCACATGCTTATCAGTATTATACTGGATGACAGGGAGCTATTCACTTATATTCCAAGTACGTAGAAGTCCTCCATCTTCCATCCACCCTCCCTTGGTATTAGACTCTAACTTAAGATGGAAAATAAAAGACATCATTAATGATTTAATAAAACAAACAACAAATGCTGGATATAGATCAAAGGAAGTGGAAAAGGTGGGTATGTTTGAGGTCCTGAAAGATAGATGATTTATGATATGAGATTTATGATTTTGATGATAGATTTATATTTGCACAAAGTACTTTTACAGGACAAACCATGAATATATTTGTGAGATCGAATGTAATTACCAAAAAAAGTGCAAAAAGAAGTGCTTTTTCCTTCTCGAAGCAGATGTTATAAAAAGGTTCACTGTCACTGAGTTAAAAGAAAAATGATTAGGATTAACACCATATGAAATCAAGAGCTGCAGCTAGATTCTTTTAGTTCCAGATGTTGAGAATGCAATAAAAAAAATTGCACCTTTAAGAGATATATCAAAAACAAGAGAAAAAAATGAATATTCATTAAAGTGAGTAACTATTGTGCTTCCCAAGGAAAAGGGTGATCAGGATATCTAAGTCTGAGTGGCTTCTGATAGGAAAGTATATTAAAAAAAAATCTTAGATATATTTCACATAAAGAACTAATCAGTCAACAGAAACTGTAAGAACAAAACAGTTTTTGGGAAAACTGAAAAATCACAATTTGTGTGAAACTTGGTCAGTCATTCATCCCAATAAAAAGAGTTTTGGAGACACCGCTACTGCTACTTTTCTAAAAAATAAGAAAAAACAATAAATGATTGACACCAAAAGATTTCAGATTAAAAATCAGCAGAAATGTTAGGATATTGTGTAAACTGTGGAATATATGGGCAAAATGTGAGGAAATGTCACACAATTACAGCAGTCTTACTTTTCCACACCCTCTGAGATTACATTGAACGAGACAAGAGAAAAATGTCTGCCTATTATGAAAGTAAGATCATAACTACATTCCAGGCTAAACTTGTCAGTTTCCAGTATTCAAAGGAATAGGTGATGGTGTTAATTTAGCTTTATTTTTAGACACTGAATAACAGCAAGCTCTCTGATCATCTGAGGTGTAACTGTCCAGATCTTCTCATTATCTCCGACAAGCTTCCCTGTACCTAACAAAACAAAAAACAATCTCCACAGCATGATTCTACCCCCACCGTGGTTTACCAGTTGATTGGAATTTGTGCTGTAAAGAAAAAGTTCAAATGCATTTTTATTTTCTCATCAGTTTTCTATAAAATGGTTTTCCAGTCAACAGGTATCCCAATTCCAGCTGTGGATGCTGGGATTTTTGAACCACTAATGTCTTCTATAAGACCTCACCTATGATGCTAAACATTTTATCTATGGGTATATTATTCATTTTAAATGTTGAAGAAGCAATAAAAAAAATTATTTTCTCTTAATAATAATAATTGTTAATAATAATAAAACTTTGGATAACTGGAGCAGAAAGCCAATGTATTAAAATAAGGAATAGAAAGAACGATTATAATTGATTACTTACATAAGCCTCTTTGCCAAATTAAAGAAATATTCTAATCTTTACTGTTTATTTTTTGAAATATTTTGAACATAATTAATGTCTAAGTAAGTTAAATCCGACTAAACCTTGCGATTCGCATAGTATTTTGTATTTTTCAGAGAATACCACGTTTACTTAAATTAATACATACATACATATAGATGTATTTAGCCTATGGGTGCGCCTAAATCCCCTCCCACCTGCCTGGTAAGGTTGCGCGCAGCCGATGAGTTTTATAGCAACTGTTGCCCAGTGAGGCAACGCCATAGTCCCGTAGTCCTGGCGACTGTAACCCACCAACAACAACCTCTCGCTCCATCATTACCACCTCCTCCACCATCCTCATCTTCATCAACCAGTCCGCAGCTCAGGTTTGCTTTAAACTAATTCGTTTATTTGTTTCTAAGCCGGAAAGCAACTGGTTTGTCCCGTCACTGCTTTTTTTTTTTTTTTTTTTTTAAGCGCCTCTGGTTTGTGTTTTGTCTGCTGCTGGATAATAGCCGGGGTACTTTGCTAGCCGAGGGTGTTTCTTTGTAACGTGTTAGCATACTTGCTAAGATTCACTGTAGATAACAACAACGGCAGGAGAGCGGAAACTACATACGCGGGCTCGCGGGGAGTTTAAATGTTAACATTTTAACGTGTGTATTTCTGTTTGAAGTTGCCACGCTGAGCGGTAGCAGCTTTCTCGGGCTAGTGAATGATGCTAACTGGTCAGCTGGAGCAGGTGTCTGTTGTTGCTAGGCTGCTAACGCCAGCGATGCCTCCCCTCACAATGCCTGTTGGGTATTCCATTTTGGGGGCTAATGCTGCGGCGAGAGCTTAAGTTTAAGTTTTAGGGTGTTTTTTGAGTTTTGGTTGCTGTGCAAAATCACTACAAGGAAAGTCATTTGAGCTAAGCTTGCTTTCACTAACTGGTTGACAATAGCTAAGCCATTACTTTCCCTTTTGTCTTAGGCAGCTCGATAGCTTCGCTAGCTCTCCATCTGCCCTCTTTGTGGAATCAGATGGCTGTGATAAGCTTTGTGATAACATGGGGCCAGGCTGAAGGAAAATAAGACCTAATTAATTAACATTTGGTCAGATTTGTCTTTTAGTGAATAAGACATTCATCCTAAATTTAGTTATTTATCCACAAACAAGCAAAATTACTATCCAACCTTATTATAGTGCTGTAGCTGAACATAAATCTCATTTCAATTTATGTATGCAATATTTTATACTCTTACTATAGAAATCAACCAACTTTTTATAGATGAATAAATGGTTTCCTCTTTTGGAAAACAGATTCATTTAATTACAGAAAATCTCAGATTTTATCCTGCAAAAATTAAAGGTTACTAAATAATTTAATTTAACTGCTATTTATAGCACAAAAATAACTATTGTTAGTTACCTAGAAAAGACAATAGAACTTAAAAATAACAAAAGTTTCACTTTATTATTTTTATTTTTTTAGTAATTGGTCAAATCTAAATCATTGGAACAGAATTAAAAGAAACAAAAATATAAAATGGGCTGGAAAAGTTTATCCCTGCATTGCAACTAGTTTTAGTCAGCAATCGGATAACTGTTTTCCATCAAAAACTTTACTATATTTTTTTGTTTTTTTTTTTGCAAGGGTTGCTTATTACTTAAACAAATTATACAGTAACTTCAACAATAATTACAATTATTCCTAAAGAATCTGCATTAAAAAATGATGGAAAAAAACGATTATATATACAAGTATTCAAAGTTAACGAGTAACTAAATCTGTTTTAGGACTTCATGTTTAAAACTTTGAACATACTGTTTTTAGGCCTAGATAACTACCATGTTCTGTTTAAAAAGCATCATTATTACTATTGTTAAGAGCATATATCATTTTAATTTTAGTTTTTCTTAACCCTTAAGTGATATATTAAAATCTGATTTCTACTTTTTATTTTATTAAAACTTTTATTTGTTTTTGTTTTTTTTTTTTTTAAAGCAAGTTTCTTAGTGTTGCATCATATTTACTCTTGCACGAGTCCACTGGGTCTATTGTTCACCTGTTCAACCCTCTGATTCCCATTAGGAAGGAAAACATGCTCGTGTGTGTGTGCGTCTTGAGAAGAGGGGAAGGACAGAGAGAGCAGGTGCGCCTCTACTAGTGGGAGACTCCAGATCGTCCCAATTTACTTTAATCTGTCCTCAACAGAACAGAAGAGTTATTTAACAGTAAACAAAGAACAAGTAGTTATGGTCTCAGATGTGAATCGTGTTTCTGCTCATTGTTGCAGAAACACCTGATTGGTTGGACCTAATGATTCATAACCCAGTCACGATGTGCAAGAAAATGATTTTTATTTGTTGACATCTACTTTAGCTAAATTGGGTCACCCCCCCTGACCACATACACAAACAAAACAGGATGTTAGGAACTGCCAGTTATCAGATCGTGTTACCACTTACCTGTAGTCCAGGAGGGCAGAAATAGTGCTGTGCCACCTGGTGCCTGGATCCTGTTGCATTTCCAATCACTTAAAGAGGGCCTGATTAATTCAATTATTCCACCAGCCATTTTCATGGCCTCACTGCATATTTGCTTTGTAAATTTCCACAGCCTTCCTTGCTTTTACGTAGATTTCTAATACAAAAAATGTATATTAACCGTCTGTAAGTTCTGCAGTGACAGACGCCTTTATGATGTTTTTTTTTTAAACTGGAACAAACTCTTTTAGACTTTTGACTTTTCCACACACCAGATCTGATTTAAATCTGTTTTTTTGTTGGTTTTTTTTGACCCAGCCACTTATACTTCATCCAGTTTCATACATTAAAATCCCATTGAGATTCCTAACATTGTCACTTACTTTCAGGTTTCTTTGCAATTTTTAAACCCCCATAAAAACAAACACTTCTTTGCATACCCTCCTCCTCCTTAGCTCCAAATTACATCTCCCTCCACCTGCTTTTCTGCTATACAAACACCTGATCAAGTCATTGTGTGTGCGTTGGGGTGGGGAGAGAGGAACATGTCTCTTAGGCCTACAGTCTTGTTCACTTACTCACATGTCTTGGCTCTACTCATTACTCCCCAACTTTGTCATGCGTGATCATTACTTAGGCAAATTGTAGTCCTTTGAATTTTCTGGTACCTGTGACTGTGAACCTTTTGTGCTCCACGTTTAATTTTTTTTTCAGGCCGGGATGTATGCAGGAGAAATTGAAGGGAAGAAACTCAGGGCAAAATGCTGCGCTCCTTGGTGGCTTTTGTTCCTCTGAGTCTTTGTAGGGCTTGCACTTGCTCGCTGGAGCACAGCATTTAAGTGGGCCACAAGGGAGTGCCTGAATGGTGTGGCAGGAGGTGTGTGTGTGTGCACGTCTGTGTGAAGGGGGTTGAGGTGAGGCAACAAGGGTGTGCTGTGATGCAGGGGCTCCTTTTCTCAATTAGGTGGACTCGGCTGGGGCCATGTGCTTTAGATTTCCAGTTTTTCCCTCCTTTGTATCAGGATGCTGTGAGGTCTGGGTTACAGGTTGGAAATTAAGTGTAACGTGTTATAAGGTAAAAAGAAATATAATATTGATCTACAGTAGTAGGGTCTTCTATAAACTATATTCTAACAGTTCTTTAACGGCCATATGATTGTCTGCCTGGAAACGGTCTGGGAAATGTTTACCAAGGGTTTGATAACTTTGAGTAAACAATAGGAGATACAGTGATCAGGCTTATCCTGGCCTGACCTGCTGATTGCATCTTCCCTTTTTTTTTATCTTTTATCTCCAATGGCTCCCATAAAACATACCAAAAAATTACAGTTTATTGAAGTTTTAAATGCAGGACTTGCAAGAGTACCTCTATTTGTGCATTAAAGCATATCCTCCATATCTATCAGATTTCTTTTTTTGGTGCAAAGAAGTTTACATCAATCATTCCTATTTTTGATTAATTTATTTAAGAGAGAGCAGAATAGAAACATCCCACAGCAAGAGGTGTCCTGTTGTAGTCATCTGCCAGTTCAGGTTTCTGATGGGATTAACAATATCTGCATTAGTATTGGTAATGGTCAAAAAGGTAAAACTGGGCTGACTTAAAACTGCTGTTTATCTCCATTTTGTTGCCTTTTGTGTTTGAGTAGGGGGAGGGTGCTGGCCATGTTTGATTTGTTTGGTGATGTAACAATGATTGTAATGCAGCACAGGATTGTGGTGTATTCAACTGGGAAGCAATTTTACCGGTATGGGCTTTTTTCTGGTGTTTAAAGGGTAGGAATATAATAGCTTTATAATTTAAATATTGGTCATAACAGTGCTATTAATATTGACAATAGACATTAGCCCAAGTTTTAAATTTTTTTTTTCATCTAGTTGGCCTGGTATTTACTGCTTCTCCCAAAAAAATGTTTGATTTTACATGCATATATATTTACATACATATACAACGTGTTTACGCAAAGATTTAAACAGATATTCCTAGAGTTTTAAGAGTGAACTCACATGTTAATTGTAACAGTCAGAAAGGATTTTAGAAAAAGAAAAGGTTAAAACATGATGAACCAAACCAGGACAACAAAAAGTTGTTTTATTTTATTGAGAATGTCGAATAATTAACACAAGTTTCTTTTGTTTTGTTTTTTTTTCGTTTGCCATTTCCCTTAGTTATTGCATCACAACTGTCCGAGCTTTACGTACTTAAGCTTTACTAGTAAAATTTACATGCATGGCGCTCAAAGGACAATATCCTATCAATTGAATGGAAGTCAAAGACTTTTATAATTGTTATTTTGCAGCTGTGATTTGATCTCTTGTGCTCCTCTAGTGTCTAATATTGATATTGCACAGAAATTCTGACAATATGGTAGGCTGTATTAGTTCATGCTTTAAATCATTTATTAACAGTCTGGTGAGCAGCAATACATTCAGCCAGTTGAATTACATTTCAATACTTTTTTATGGGTCTCAGAGTGATGATGAAATGTAATAATATAATACTTTTTTTATTTTTAGAATCCATCTTTTAGCCAGCTGGCCGGTTGTGTGCAGCAACAGGTTGGGGCTGGGAAAGGGCTGCTAGTCTGTGCTTCATATAACAAAAGAAATCTGCGTTCAATCCATAATTTTATCTTGTCTAAAGAAATGTTTTGGGTGTTTTTTTCCCTCCTTTTTGTGTGAGCGACTTGCTTTCAGGTTGCACATAGTTATAATCTTACTTTCTCAACACAAAGTTAATGGCTGCAAAAACTGGCTGGTGCCGTGGTGAAGGTAATGGAAAGGGGCAAGCTGTCCCCTGGAGTGATTTGAAGCTCTAAGGAGAACCAGCTTAATTAACCAAGAGAGGCTTGCTCATGGAAACTGTGATGTGGCCTTTCCCTGGAAGGAATGGGTGATGGCAGCGACACTATTATTAACTCACAAACATGGGTTAACCTTAAGTGTGTCCTCTGGTCCTTCCCTGTAGATGTGTTCTTCACTTGCTGTAGACGGAGAAGTAATTAGAAGACCAACGTCTATTTTTATGTGTAGAACTTACAAATGGCTCAGAGTTTTCCTCTGACATTCAGGGTCTTTTGTCAGAAGTGATGTTGAGCTTCTGAAAGCATGGAGAGGCAGCGGAAAGAGAAGCAGCATCTATTTAGAGTTGGTTAAATATTAACTTGTTTTATGGCTGCAGATGTAGAGACAAGACCATGTGTCAGTGATGCATGAGTCCCTGAGTACATTGCGTACCTTGGGGCAGAGACAGGTGTTTGGGTACAGTTGACCCAAGCAGCCTTTTACTTGCATTGATTTCAGCAAAATAGACAAATATCTTTATGGTGACACCTCGTGTTTCCTGCTCTCCCAAGATTAAACTCCCATTTAGACATCCTGAACAAACTCAAACGTGGATAACTGCTGAATTCATGCATTTTCTTATGTAATGCCTTACAGGTCTGACCTTTAGTGAAGGCAAGTTCATGAAGCATTCAGTTTGTATTTCTTTTGGTATTGAAGTCTCGGATTTGATGACTGCTTATCCAGCTTGTGTAAAACCAGAACTTTCAAATGAAGCCTTTGAAAAGCAGCTGGAAAAAGTTGTGAAGATTAGTTTTCTTAGGTTAAAGAATCCGAGGTTTACTGCAATAAGAGTATTATTTGTTTGCTTTTTGTTTTGTTTTTATTATGTGATGCTGTCGATTCATCTGGTCAATAGTTGTGAGGTTTCAGTTCCTGACGCTGTTATCTGTCTTATAGGAATGTTTTCTCTTTCATTCAGGCGCCATGCAGACCCCTGAAGCAGGCGCTGACTCCACCTCCACTGTCCCTCTTCAGACCGCCGTGCCTGTCCAGCCTGCCGGCTCCACCCAGCAGGTGCCTGTTCAGCAGCAGCAGCGAAACCCTGGCTTGATTTGCACCCCTTTTTTTTGTTGTTGCTTAGAAAATAGTTTGAGCAATTTCAATTTTTGCATCTTATTCCACCAGGCGCAGACTGTTCAACAGGTTCAGCACGTTTACCCAGCACAGGTGCAGTATGTGGAGGAAAATAGTGGCGTCTATACCAACGGCAACATGTGAGTGGAGGTGTTTTCCAGCTCTGCTCTTGCACAACTTTGAAATTGTCAACCCTTTAGCCCCAACTTTCCCTCTTTTAAGTCCCTTCAAACGATCATTTATGTAACAAGCACACAATGTTGTAGACAAGCACAGTTGTCTTTTGTTCAATCTAACCCTTTGTGAAAGATTTAGTCATATGTCTTATTGTACTCAGTGCCCTGAACATGACCAGAAATTGACCAATTCTTTTTTTCTTCTTGAAGTGACGGTTTTATTTAAAAAGAAAAAAAAGTCCCCTTCGTCTGAGAAACAAAGTTACACACATACTCTGCAAACGGGTCCAATCTGTGTTTGTTCTCCTGAGATAAAAGCACACACATTAAAGTGTGCACAAACACAGACAGAAATGGACTTGTGTTAGGGGAGCTGGTGGGTGATAGACAAGCTCTAGACTAATGTCAACATAATATACTGTATAGCTCCTTTAAGGCATGCACTCCTGATATTACATCACCTGTAAGAGGTTTTGTGTCTGCTCTAGCTTCTTGGACAGCCACAGTGATGGAGACATTATATGAAGCAGAATTTCTTTTAAAGGAGTCATAACCAGGTATTTTTCTGATATAGTCTTTCTGAATTTGAACCGAAATTCATATTTAAACATTTTTAGGAGAACAAATTTAAAAAGTTCATTGGACCCTTTTTTATTATTGTTTTTGTGTTCCTGAGGTAAACATAAGAATCTGAATTGTCTGTATGCAGATTCATGTGGATGTAGCGTTAGCAACATTAGCAGTTTGCCATCATACGTCTATGATTGTTTCTTGCTCTCTTACACAATAAATAAAACATTCCACAAGCAGTAACACTTACCGACTGCCTGCAGGTGATTCCCTGATTTTTTTTTATATCGTCCCTTTTAATGGAATAGAGACGGGAGTGCTGATAGAAAGTTAGGCTAATACTAACACCCATCCAGGAAGTTAAGCTACGTTAAAGCCGGGCATACACTGTGCGATTTTATTTTATTTATTTATTTTTTATTTTTTTCTCAGTCGTTGCACGCAGCTTCTGCTCACACTGTACGACTAAACCCTGTGGTTCGTTGTACAGTGTGAGTTCACAGCTCACGATTTATGTTCGGCCCAACGCCCTCATGTGATCTACCTGCTCACACTATACGACTAAAAACCACCTCAGACTGAGCTTCGCAGTGAGATGGAGCTGCTTTGACTTGTCTATCTGGAAGCCAAACAAATAGAAGGAGAATATTAAGCTCACTACAGTGAAACGCGCTGCCTTGTTAATTTGTGCAATTTTGTGCTGAAAGCTCTAAAAAGAAAAGGTGACGACGTATTTGAAAAAAAGACATGGCTGGGCAGACGTGGCTACTACGGTCTGTCAATTTTACAGACAAAACTGCATTTCACTCATTGCATCCCTGCCGTGCTGCTGTATTTACAGAAGAATCCTTGTTTGTGCACTTAGCGATTTGCCCACGACAGTCCCAACCTCACGATTCCTGATCGGGAGAGGCTGATCGCCCCTCGTTACCCCCAGTACACTACATGACTCACGATCAGACTGAAAATCGGCCCAATCCAACGATTGTCACACAACTGGAAAATCAGCTCGAAAATCACACAGTGTACGCCGGGCTTAATCCAGCATGAGGACCAGAATCGTACTTTGTGGACAGAAGGCTTTACTGGGCTGTTCTACTTTAAACAACGAGCTCACATGTAATAACTGAGCCACCCTCACACTCCAAATTTACCAGCAGCAGTACCTTTTAACAAACCCCAACACACTTTTTAACATGAAAAGTTCTGATTTACCGGTGATGACTCCTTTGATAGAGAAATCTGTTTGTAATAATTGTTACATGTAATGCCTTTTAAAAGCTTTTTCATCCCTTGTAGAATTTAATTGCATTAAGTTACAGCAACATGTTCAAATAATTGTGTGTGAGAGACTGACTCAAAGTTGTTTGTCTTTGTATCTTGGAATCATATTATTCTTCTTTTTTTTTATCTTATAAAAATTTCAGAAGTCTGGCATGACCTTTTTAATCCTGAAACTCTAATGAAATCCAGAGGAACAAAATGCCTTTGCCAATAACCAGAACATGTATTAGTTGCCCTCTACAAAAATCTGTCCTTTCCAGAAAAATGGCAAACATGTAGAGGATTTGTGGCCTGGCCAGATTTTGGATTACATCTTTAAGTACTCATTTCTTATCAATAGGCATGATGGTGATGGCATCATATTGTTGGGATGGTTTACTGTTTCATTGACTTGGGAAATTGACCTTATACTGTCCCTATAGATACACAGTGACACACGTACACACATCTGTTTTAAATATCTACTGAGGACCTTGCCTTGACATTTATTGATTTCCATTCATTTTCAGACCTTTCTATTAGCCAATTCACACCTTTGTGCTAAGCCTAACCCACAGCCCCCAAAAGCCCACTAACAGAAAAGGTCCTAACTTTAAATCAAAGTTTTCCCTTTACCAGTAAAACATCAAATCATGTTCTCACTGAGCTGCAAGTACAACAGACACACACGATCTCCTTAGCCAGTACCTTTATGTATAGAAGTACGAGCATTAAAGGAATGGTCAATACCCAGAGTATAAACTTATGAATTGTGTAAACATCATGTTTGAAAAGCCCATCATTACTTACCAGTGTGTTTGTGCTCTGAGTAGTCCTCATAATGATTTCTTTATCTGACTTCTGACCTCTCCTCTGAACAGAAGGACCTACACATACTCTGAGCCGCAGCTCTACAGTCAGAACAGCGGAGGAAGCTACTTCGACACACAGGGCAGCTCATCGCAAGTATCTGCTGTGGTGACGTCTCATGGAATAACCAACAATGGAGGAGGGAGCACTGGAGGGATGAGCATGGGTATGGCAGGGGGTCAGGTAATCAGCAGCAGTTCTGGGGCGTACCTGATGGATAATGCTGGACCCCATCCTGCCACCCCGACCGCACGAGCCTCTCCAGCCACTGTAAGTATCATAGTGGATAAATGGCCCTTGGCTTTAACATTTGTGCACTTTTGTTACGTTTTGTATGCTTTTCTGAGGTTGTATTACTGTATGTATGTCTGTAGATCAACATTCATATCTTACTTTATAGGGAAAAATTGCTTTTGATAAAGCTTTTTTTGCCCCATGTCAGTGTAGATTGTCTAGTATTCTGTAGCAGTCTGTTTTTCTAATTGAATCCATAGTCGTTCAACAATCTTGGAAATCGCAGTTCATACTGAAACTAAACATTTGAGTCATTTAGCTCCTTTATATTTGTTTAAAGTGTACTTTATCCCAGGGTGTTAACATTTTTAGTGAATTACACGTCATATAATGATCTGCTATAAAAATGTTCCTAAGAGCTTCTTTGAAAAGGAAATGAGGCTTTAAGACGTGACAAAAAGTGGCAGAATGATTAGAAAATTAAAACTCTTCAGATGCAAACACTCCTTATTATTTCCTGTTAGGTGTAGTGAAGTACACAACACAGCCACACTGCTCTGATTTTAATTTGGGCATAATTTGAATGCTTATGACTGAAGTTTTAGCACCACTTGTGTAGTGTACTGCAGAATCTCATTATTTTTCACGACAAAAACAAACATTTAAAACTGGGGACACACTACACTGTTATCAGAGTCCTTTCAGATAACGCATCAACCTTGCCTGGTGAGACAGTTTAAAGGGTAAACAAACATACCTGTAGGTGGCAGTAAAAGATGACATCTCAGGACTCGGGCACTGTGTTGTTTTCCCTTGAAATGAAAACAATGCCATTTGAAGTGCTTTAGTTTTATCACAGTAGTGATTTTTCTCAAGTTTAAATGTGATTTCTATTGTTTGTAGGTTTTCTTTTTGATTCTCATGTTGAGTTTTTGACATTTATTTTCTTGTCTGAAGGCTGTGGAATGACATTGAACATGCGCTTTAATTATATTGAAGCATGCTAGAATTTCTCTGTTGAACAAACTACAGACTAATGTTTGCATGAACAGAAATTGAGAATTTATCTTAATTAATTTGATTTATATATATATATATATAAAATAGTTTTTTTGGATATATGTCAACAAATCAAATCATATATGAAGTACTGATTTTTACTTCGTGTTAGAGCATGTTTTACCATTGTTGGAAATGATCCTAAATTGCTCGATCCGTATTTTGATCATTTTTTAGCTTTTGGTATTGGTTGATTTTTGGTAGTTGTTTGCTTATATTTTTAAGGTAAAATTATGGAGTGTCATGTCCTGGCACCTCTTTTTCTTTGGCTTTTAGCAGCATGGGTTTTGAGATAGGCCTGTAATCTGTCTTCAACACCCACCTGCATGCAGATTTGACTGAGAACCAAACATGTTGGCCTGAGGTCTGCTCTCATCTGCTCGGTTTTCCTTACACACTTCCAGACTCCATTTTTCACATCCGCTCAGCCCCATTTCTTTGCCTGCGGACTTAGCCTAACATGCATTCCCCTCACAGGGAATCATGGGTAAAAACAAAAATTAATGTAGTCTGCCTCCAGCTTAACTTGCAGCAACTTTGAGCCATTTACACAACTCTTGAATGGACTTGGATAAGCATAATTTAGCTTACAATTAAACTATACAGATTTCCCAGATATTATACATTAGGGTTATCTGGTCTTTAACAGTAAGTAAAATGTCAACATTCTATAAACACAGGTTCCAATTTTGATATTCATGTAGCAGAAAAGGCAAAAAATGCCTTTTAAGTGAAAATAGTGCAAAGGAATACTTTACTCGACTGGATATCTTTTATTGAACCCCTATTAGCAATGGCAAATTAGTTCATATTCTGCATGATTATCATTCTTAAACTGCGTTGCTTTCATGACGAAGTTTGGCACAAATAATTAGAGGTTAACTCATGAGTTACTCTAGAATACTTTGATATACATAGAAGTTCAACTGTTAAATGTTGAGGCAGCAAAACATCAAAATCACCCAATTTATTACGCCTTCAGAATCAAGTTTATTGCCAATTAGGTTCGCACTTACAAGGAATTTGACTTGGTGTTGATGGTGCAGACAAATTGGATGTATAACTAATTTCTAATGTCACTAAATTTCTGTCCTGATGAGACCAAGCATCTGCTTGGGTCTCATCCTTTTAAACGACAGAAGTGGTTTATTCAAATGCAACTTTTTAAATTAGATTAATGTGAAGTCACGATTCCTTTTTTTTTTAAAGGCTGTTTTATATTATGGATACTACTGCTGTAATATTGCTTTAATGTTTAATATTCAGCAATATTTACCTTTTTTTTGTAGCTGTTGGAAAACGCAAGTAAACATTGCTGATTCTGACCTAGGATTTAGTGTTAAGTTGTTTTTTTTATCCTTTCTTTATGTGGAAAAGTGGATTCCTCTTATTTAGACATTCTAAACCTACCATCATAATAAGACACAAAAACTGTTGTCTTCTTAAGATCGCTGCTGATCTATTTGCTTCTTGCCATTGTGATTGCACTCCCCTTTATGCTGCAGGGTACCAACCCTCATGGACATGGACAATAAACACACCTTAGTGTAGTTTTGTCTACAAATTAATGTTTCTTTTAGCAATAACTCAGTGCAATATTTATTGATGTTACTTCTTCAGTAACTCAGTGAAATATATATGTATATATATACACTTCTTTACCCTGTATATAGCTAGCTCTTAGTTACAGAAAACATATTTATTGTGCAGGAATAAGGTTTTAGCTCTGTTACACTGGTAGCCAAGTAATCGACATTTTGTTGTCAAGATTCATCTTGAGTATTTTTGTGCAATGACAATAAAGGAAGTCTAAGTCTAACTCCCCTCCTCGAGGGCCGACATCCTGTATTTAGATAAGTGCCCACTTTACCATACTTCTTTCTCTTAGTTTTATTTTGAATGATGGCTGATTAACAGGCTCTTGCTGAGCTGGAATCATCCGATTCAAGTGTGTTTAAAAGCAGATAAACTTGTAAAGGTTGCAGGACACCAGCCCCCTAAAGCTGGGGTTAAATCCCCCCCCCCAGCAAACTTAAAGGCCTCCTCTACAGAGAGTGTTTTTATTGCAGATTTTGTATTAGACAGCAAGTATTGATTGTTTTGGTTGTTTTCTATTTGTACCCTTTAAACTAGATTTTTATCTTGATCCATAAATCCTTAAATTTAAAAGAAATATATCTTTTTTTTTATTAAAAACTCTTCCTGTCCTGTTTATTGTTTTTATTCGCCAGCTTCATTCCTAATCAAAAATGTTCCTTTATTGTCGAGGATTCCTGCTGTGCTTGGGATTAGTGGTGCTTGCTTTGGGATCTCTACCTAGCCTCTTTGTATTTTTGCTTAATGCCAGTAATGTGTTTGAACGAGCTCCTTAGTTTTCTTGCTTTAGTTTTGATTTCCCCCCGCCTCCCCCCTCTTACATTTTGTTGTCCTGTGCTTCGTGGTTTATCAGATTGAAATGGCGATTGAGACGCTCCAAAAATCTGAGGGTTTATCCAGTCAGAGAAGCTCGCTGCTCAACAGCCATGTAAGTTGCTTTTCTAAACGCAGTCGCCCTAATCTTAACTTTTGCAAGTCTCCCTCCTTTCGCTGTTCTGCCTTTTTTCTCATCTTTGTAGATCTAAGTTCAATGTGGTGCTTTCGGTTTTACGCTGCTTTAGATGCTTTGGCAAAGCTGCCATTGTTGCGGCATCAGATTCACAGAATGAAGCCTGAAGAACTTTGTGTATCAGCGTGCAACGGTGAGTTAAAAGCACTTTGTCCTTCTTTTAGCTCCAGTGGCTGCTGGACAATTACGAAACAGCAGAGGGAGTAAGTCTACCACGATCCACCCTCTACAATCATTACCTGCGGCACTGCCAGGAACAGAAACTGGACCCTGTAAATGCAGCATCTTTTGGCAAACTCATTCGCTCCATCTTCATGGGACTCCGTACAAGGCGCCTCGGGACAAGGTTGGCTATCTTTCTCTTGGTGGGATTTATTCCCCAGGAATATTACCTATTCAGTTTTTGGGGCTTTTTTGTATCCATCTAATCTTTTTCAGTGATTTACCTTTTGGTTTTGTTTTTTTGGCAGAGGGAACTCAAAATACCACTACTACGGCATACGTGTGAAACCAGATTCCCCGCTCAACAGACTTCAAGAAGACATGCAGTACATGGCTCTCAGGCAGCAGCCTGTTCAGCAGAAGCAGAGGTAGGAGGCCCTCGTGTTAAAGCACCTGCTGTGATAAAAATCCAAGTGGTTATAGATAAAAAGGTTTACCATGTTGTCTCTAGGTTCAAGCCAGTGCAGAAGTTTGATGGTGGCTCCGCAGACGGTTACACAAGTGGGGGGCAGCACATCCCTGGTGCGGCAGAGCAGACAGTCATTGCACAGAGCCAGCACCATCAGCAGTTCCTAGGTCAGCAGCTTTGCAATTAGACTAATTTTAATATTATTGTCATAAGCAGTCATTTAAAAGAGATGTTTTCAAGCCTTAAATTCTTTATATTAAACTGCATTAGAAAAAATATTTTACTAATTCCAGAGGAGAAATTATCTTAAGCTGTCTGTTTATACAAACATAAACCTAATTTACAACATTAGAAATAGTAGGTACAGGTTAACAAAACTAAAAGAATAAAAATGAAAACAAATCTGGTTAATATGAGTTGGAGTAATGTTAAAATAAAGCTGTAATATCAGGAAAAAAGGTAATTTTCTCTTTACCAGATTGTCTAAAAAAAAAATCAAACTTCAACAGTTTAAAAAAAAGACATATTCCTCTCCACAATTAAAAAAAAACTGTAAGGCTACAGATAGGTGAACTGTTTGCTTCAGTTCATTGAGTTTTACAGGTACTTTTGAATCAAGTAAATGTTTGTTCTTTGACTACACTGAAGCAACTCTATCTAAACCATTCCATCCATTCAGTTATTTTTTATTTATTTTTTTATTTTAAGACCAGTACCCTGTTAACGACCTCTTGTGCAATGTTTAGCTGTTAAACAGATGGCCTCGCCTTTAACTCCACAATACTTTGGTGTTCTGTTTAGGGCTGCAACTAATGATTTTTTTGAAATTGATTAATCTGTCTATCTTTTTTTTTTTTCGATTAATCGATTAATAATCGGATAGTAAAAGGTTCTTTGAGGAAGATTTTTTTTTTTAATTAAACCAGTTGAAATTTAAACTTTTCCACTTGAGGAGTTCTATATATATGAAATATTTTTATCTTAAATGCAAAATGTTTATACATTTTTTTTAAATTATGATATAATTACTGCTCTAAGTGGGTTGCTCTGTCAGCTAAAAGCATATTTTACAGTTTCTATACTCCAGTTAATGATTAATTGATTAGTAAATGAGTTGATGATTATTTCAATAATCGATTAATCCAATTCATTGTTTTCTTTTATAATTGTAGTGCTTTTTAATTTCATCATTCCAATGCTAACCCTGTAGAAGCAGGAGTGTAGTCTTTAAGTTTCCCTTCACTGATGATCTCCGTTTTAAGGTTGTTGGTTGTTTTCATTTAGTAAATCATAACAACTGAATTTGTTCTGTTTTTATGAAACTGAGGTTAAATTGAAATATTTGTATGATACCTTTATGATGTGGCTTATATTAGGATGATTTAGTGCTTATTCTATGTTTACAGATGCATCACGGGCACTCCCTGACTTTGTAGAACTGGACCTGGGACAGAGCAATATGGAGAACATCAGTCCAGAGGATGTGAAAGCTCTCCAGTCCCTTTACAGAGAGCACTGTGAGGTTAGACAAAGGAGGTTTTTTGTTTTGGGGGTTTTTTGTGCAAGATCAACAAAGAATGAGACCCAATTTAGAGATAGCCACGGTCTTTGTTATAAATGTGATCTGTCCAAGTTCCTAGTTTGTTTTGTACCAGAATGCTGCAGTTTGGTAGTTATATTTATACAAAGTGGACCTAACCTAATGAAGCCATAAACAGTCATTAAATTATTTCAAAGGTTTTCACTAATTTGATTTAATTGATATTATCTTTTATATTTTGTTATAGCATTTTAGAAATACCGCTTTTGCTGCCTGGATGTTTTCTTATTATGATTGTATTTCCTTATTTCTCTTGCTGTCTTTCAGGCCATCTTGGATGTTGTAGTCAACCTCCAGTTCAGTCTAATTGAAAAGCTGTGGCAGACGTTCTGGCGTTATTCACCTCCCGACACAGTAGAGGGCGCCACTATAACAGAAAACAGGTGAGCAACAATTCTTCATGAGATTGTCTTCATTAGGAAATATCTAAGGTTAAGAATATTATTTGGAAATAATGATTGTGAATATGGTTTACTCTCTCTGCAGCAGCATAAGTGAGATTGAAGCGCGGCTCCCTCGAGCGCAGCTGTTGGCGCTGTGCAGGAACGAGGCTGTTCTTAAGTGGATGAGCACCTGTGACCATTTAATGTACCAGGCCCTCGTAGAGATCCTAATTCCTGATGTCCTGAGACCCATTCCCAGTGAGCAGCAGTGACAGACACCATTCTACTTTATCTGATAAGCTGGACAGGTAGTAACTATTGTGACTCATCTCTTGTTCCCAGGTGCCTTGACTCAAGCCATTCGCAACTTTGCCAAAAGCCTGGAAGGCTGGCTTAGTAACGCCATGAATGCCATTCCACAGAGAATGATCCAGACCAAGGTGCTCTTTGTAAATATATATACATCCTGGACTTTAGATCCATTGCATGGCCGTCTGTAGTTATAACCTGAGCTCTTGTGTGCATTCATGTCACAGATTGCCGCTGTTAGTGCCTTTGCGCAGACGTTGCGCAGATATACATCGTTGAACCACCTGGCTCAGGCGGCACGTGCTGTGTTGCAGAACACATCCCAAATCAACCAGATGCTGAGTGATCTCAATCGCGTTGACTTTGCAAACGTACAGGTCTGAGCAGTTCAGAGGGCTGGTGTTTGTCTCTTCTATCCACCCATGCATTAACCCCTTGATTTGTTCGTCCCGGTGCTGTACAGGAGCAGGCGTCCTGGGTATGCCAGTGTGACGAGGGAGTGGTCCAGCACTTGGAGCAGGACTTCAAGGCCACCCTGCAGCAGCAGAGCTCTCTGGAGCAATGGGCAGCATGGCTGGACAACGTGGTTACCCAGGTGCTCAAGCCCTACGAGCACCGGCCCAGCTTCCCCAGGGCAGCCCGACAGTTCCTGCTGAAGTGGTCTTTCTACAGGTCTGGAAAAGGTTCAAGCATTCTGAGCCTCATTGATGAGCACACTGGTCATGTCTCACTTTTCCTTTGTATTTGGTTTGTTTTATATCTAGTTCTATGGTGATCAGAGACCTGACTTTGCGTAGTGCTGCCAGTTTCGGCTCCTTCCACCTAATTCGCCTGCTGTATGACGAGTACATGTTTTACCTTGTGGAACACCGGGTGGCTCAAGCTACTGGAGAAACACCCATTGGAGTCATGGGCGAGGTAAAGTAGATGGATTCTGTCCATTTAACTCCCATGTGTTCTGTTGAATTTTTAGTTAACTATTTCTGTTTTTGTTAATTTATATTTTGGATACAACTTTAAGAACCCCTAATATCTCCTCTGTGTATTACTCTCATATTTCAGTTTGACAACCTCCACAGCTTATCCCTTGCTAGCATTGATAAAGGTAAGCCAAAACAATATCCTTCACATCTCCTAATGTGAAAATTTAGCAAAGATTGTCTGAAAATATTGATAAGGACAAATACTGTATTATAACCGGAAAAGCAAACTGTGATTTCCAGACATAAAAATATATAGACAAACATACTGCTACTTTTGATAAAATAAGGTTTTAAAAGTTTCCCTGAAGCACAAACAATTGGATACCTACATATTTCCATTTACCAATGTAACACTCTTCCAGTCTGAAAAAAAAAAAAAATCAACTCAATTTTGGGATGGAAATGTATCTTCCAACAAGACTACTCAAAACATAGTAAGAGCATCAACAAAATTAACTAATTTAAAGCATATTCATGCGTTAGAATCGTCCAATCAAAGTTCAGAGGCCTCATATTAAGCTTTTCTGTGCATAAAAAAAAAACATACAGCCCAATTTCTAACACAAAACCTGGGATGTATGAAAATGAACTTTGCTTTAAAGTTTGCAACAATCTACCCAACTTTTGACCTGCTATGAGAATTTGAGCCAGCCTTGCAAATTTTTAAAATCCACAATAAAATAAGCTAAAAAGCACTAAAACCTGCCGGTTAAAATTAAATGTGGTTCTATAGATAGAAACAGAAGGGGTCATATTTACATCTTAATAATTTGTTTGCAATAACAGCTCAGATGAGCAGCTAGGAGATGCTATTTGGACTTCAGACAAATTTGTAGAGCCAAAAACTTAAATAATATTCTATAAAATATTATTCTTAACCTTTTTTTTTGTTCGCTGTAATAAATCACCCTGAGATGTGTTGACAAAGTCTATCTGTGAAAGCCTAGCAGCACCGTTGCCATGGATATCTGAACACCCACTGGGTGTCTTCCAGCTATTTATACTACTTTACATATTAATTTGTAGGCGGACACTGGGCATTGATGAATAAAGTAAAGGGGTGCGGTAAATGTCTACACATGGTTTTATACATCCGCTTTTTAGATTTCTCTTTTACACCATCACAGTTTGGGGCTCAAGATCTAAATCCAATTCAGAACCTGCTTCAAGGCTTTAAAATTGCTGCTCTTGGACTCCATCTAGCCAATCGAATTGAACTTTTACCGTTACAAAATAAATAAGTAAACAAAGAAAAAAAAAACAGGGATGCACTGATTTAAATCTGTCATGTTATGTTTTGACATTTTATATACAAAGTATTAGATTCAAAAAAGCAATGCTGAATTTGAAGCTGATGGAGTTTTTCTTTCTTTCTTGTCTAGATGAAACTAGCGGGATGGACAGTGACTTGGAAGAGGACACGGAAGAGTCTGGAGAACCCCTCGCCAAGCGTGAGAAGCCGGAGCATGAGGTAATCCAAGTGATCCAGGTGGGCGGACTGGAGGGCGGGCCCCACCCGGTGGTGGGTGTCGTCCAGCCGAGCGTCCTCCATTCGCTGCCACAGGCCCTGCAGGACCACACCGAACACATCCTAACGTCCTCTGCTGGGACTCCCACCATTCGCCATTGCAGCACCACAGGCAACACATATGCCTCCGTTTGAGGGTCTAAGGGCACAGCTCACCTTGTCTGCCTAGTTTTACCGTCTCCCTCTTCACATCTCTCTCTTTGCGTCTAGATGTCTACATGCTTTGTCTCTGTTTGCGCTCTATCCAGCTTAGTGGGTGGAGGAGTGACGCTCCAGCCAAGTTGTGCTCTGTCCTTGTCTGTTTGGATTCTGGATGTGTAGTCACCTTGTTCAGTCAGAGGAAGGGACCGGAGGAAGAAGGGACTTGAGCGCGCCATTTAACATTTCCTCTTCAGACATGACTAAACGCTTCTGCCTGTGTACACAGACGGTTTTTATTTTATTTTTTTTACCCTCAAACTGCTGATGTCTCAAAGCTCAAATCCATGTCACTAGTCCCAGTGGTGCAAAAAGCATTGACTCATTCAAAAACTCCATCTGTTGTACATAGTTTTGCTCTTCTTTTCGATTGATATTACTCCACTCATGGTGCTATCATTGTGGTTTGTTTTTATGGTATTTCTTTGTCTTTTTTTGATCTCTGTACCAACATGCTGATAGACTTCTGATTGAACGAGATGTTTCTGATTATTGTATGTAGCTAGAAAACAAAGGGTCAGTTTAGGTGGGAAACTCCGGTTTGACAGTCATGCGGTACTTAAAGCTTGCACAAAAACACTTGCATCTCTTATCGATATGGAAAAATATAACCTGTACTGCTGCTTTTGTGTATCCAGATGAGATTTTTGGATGAAATTGAAGAGAAAAAGGAAAAAAAAAAATCTTTTTTTTTTTATGTAATGCTTGCCTTTTTAGATGCTTCGTAATGTGGTTTAGGTGATGTAATCCTGAAAGAAACTTGGCAGCGACGTTGTTCCCCTGCTTTCGCAGTTTCTCACTTAATGAAATTTCTTAAGTGTGCAGTGGACCAAAAATATAAACCACCAGAGGAAGCTAAGCGTGAGCCTCCCGACGCTGTTCCCCTGTCCTGCAGTGCCATGTTGTGACGAAGAATTGAAGAAAAAATAAATCTTAATAGAATGTCAGGGATTTAATGTACCTCGGCTTTATCATAGTGCCTTATCCTTAAATGCAGCTTGTCCGCGTAATCCTGACTGAGGTTGCCCAGCCACAGATTTGGCTTTCTGGTGACTCGTGGCTGGATTTGGGCTGGCTCATCAGTTCTTCATTTGTTTTGGGGTTTTTTTTCTGTTAACTACTGAACCTATGAGTCACAGTTTTAGCCCCGTCCTGCCTTCACTCTGCCTTCTTGCATTTAGCCTTTGTCATCGAATGAAGTGAGTGTGTGTCTGCGTGGGTGTGTCTCTTTGACTGTGTTTTCCTGGGTCTGCGCTCTGCTTTTTATGTGCTCATACGCCCTTCATCTGTGTGTTTGTGTGTGTGTGTGTTGGGAACACATCCATCAGTCACCCTACCTCAAACCGGTGGTGCCACAACCCTTTTGATGCGTGCAGCACAGTCACCAAACCTTAATGCACACACACCACTGTACTGCACAAATCTCAACCCGAAGAGAAAATCTGCATTGCTTTTCTCTCACCTCTGATGTACTTTGATTTCGGTTCTTAGCCCATAAAATGCTTAATTTGTTCCCTGTTTAGAGACCATCTTTGTACAGTGGACCAAAAGTAGATATTTTCTAATATTTCAGAGATATAAAGATATATAGATATATATATATGTATAGTATATAAAGTGATGATACACTACATATATTTGTTGCTTTTTTTTAAATGTGTTTGACCTGATTGTTATGACGTGAATGTTTTTTTTGGTAGCTCATCTGTAATTACGTCATTGACTGTGAAATCTGAACAGCTTGGGGAATACAGCGCCTTGCAAAAGTATTCATTCCTCCTATCACATTTTGCAAACTTACTACTGCAAATTCCACTTTCCTTATTAAATTGATGCCTAATTGTGGATTTTTAACATCAAGAGAAAAAGGTATCATATACGTTTTTATTCAGCCCTCCTTGGCCCAGTTATTTGGAAAAGCATCTTTTGCTCATTTAACATGTCTGTTCAGATTCAAGCTAACAGCTCTGCACATCTAGATCTAATCATCTTGGATTTAAATTCTGGAACATTTTTAGCTTTGTTTTATGTTTAGGGTTGTCCTGTTGGGAGGGAAACCTCTGTCTAGTCGCTAGGCGTTCCAGGACTGCCCTGCATTTAGCCCCAATCATTCGGCTAAAGGAAAGGTATCTGAACACAATGATGCAGCAACAATTAAATAGGCTAGAAAGATGAACTATGGCCTCATTTTCCCTGCTGTGTCCATGAGCACAAGTAGAAAGCTTCCCTTTCTACTTGCTTCACATATCATTCCTCCTCCTGAGCCAGCCTGTTAGTCATGGATCATGTCTTCATAGGTTTGCAGTTATTCATCCTTTACTCTTTCCAATTTCACGATGTTTTACACCTACCGTATATTTTTTAGTTCAAATCAGTTGATGTTTTATCTGGTGGTTTGGGTTCTGTCAAACAGAGCACTCTAAGCAAACCCTAAAATTGTTATAGAAAACCAATTGGGAATGTTAACGTTTATCGGACAGATGTTAAAGGCAGGAGAATCAAATAGAAATCCAGGGAGCAGATGCTGCGTTCAGAGCAAGTAGAAAGCACAGAGATTTAATTATATTAGTCGGAGCACTAAGTTCAATGTATAGTAAATGACGTTGAGAAGATTGCTCAAGAAATGCAAAGGGCTTAATGAAAAGATGCACAACCTTTGTTTACTTTACCACATCCAACAATGCATACCTGGCAATGGGAAGCCGTTTGGCTAAAGCTTGCAGCCTTCACCTGGTAGCTGTGTGGGATTGAGGTCGTGTCACGTTCATGAACGTCTCCAGCAGTTGCTTGGAACCGAACAGAAACCACAGCAGGTTATTGATGGATATCAGATTTAGTCCTCCTTCACTACTCTTTTTTTTGCTGTATTTCATAAAATCTCAAATGAAGACGTTTGTGTTTGTAACAAAACATGCAAAAAGTTCAAGAGGCATAGATACTTTTGTCAGGCACTGTTCCCTTTGAATCCTTAGACAACAACTATACTTGAACTGTTATAGCCTTCTGAGTCGGGGGGGGGACGATTGAGATTAATCCTCTATGTAGGAGTTTATTTGAAATTTTTGCAGTTCTTTTTTTATGCTTGTCTGTAACATTTCTCCACAAAAATGTTTATTTATTAATATTTATTGCATTTCTGTTTAAAGTGCTTATACATGCATTCTACTGGCATCTGAGGATAATCAGAAGTTATCCCACTGCAAAGCGTAAACCTACTGTACAGAAAGGAGGTTGGTTGGTTCTGTTTATTCTTTGTATTATCTGTAAGTTAAATAATTGTTTTAAAAGAAAAAGGGAGAAGGAGGGGTAGCGCTGTATTTGCTGTATTTACAAATCTTTGTGTTATTAACGGTGCACAGGTGGTTTAACTTCTTTGTTTTTGTGCAACTTAGATGGGCCTCAACATTGACTAGGTTGGGAAAGTGCAAATACTTTGTGTCATTATGTTACCGGGTCAGCGGACTCTGCCATGTTCTGTTTGTTGGAGGAATTTGAAAATGAAGATGCTGGAATTCTCACTCTGATCGTGCCGACTTGAAATATTTGACCAGATCCTGGAACTGACTGAGCTCAGATCTGGCTTTCCAGTTTTATTCATTACGGATTATAAGTTAAAAAAAAAGAAGGAGGAAAAAAAACGAACTATGCTGTGAGTAGCTGCAAGTTTAAGGCCTTTTTTGTTTGTTTTTTTCTTAACCGTTCTTTGTGCCCATTTTATGCTTAAAAAAAATTCAGGTTCAGGCAATAACCTCAAAGTGTAGTGGAGTAGTGTCATAACACATGAAAGGATACTGGACTAATCTCTACTCTCCACATCTTCACTCACTCAAAGATTCCAGAAAATCTTTAAAAAGGCCCTCTATTTGTCTGTATGACATGGTTCAAGTTTTCTTTCCCTAATTGTTTAATTAATCTTAGCTTCCTTATGTGTTTTTGCCAGACAATGTGGATCATTTCTTATATTTAGTGCCTGAAAGGTGTTTGTCCCAGCCCGCTATCTTCCCTAAATTTGAAGTGCTTTAAAAACTTCTGGATTTGTGATTATCAACAATCTGACCACTTTCCCATATAACATTTTCAGACAGTAATAACAGGTACATCTCAATAAATTAAAGGTCATTTAGTTGTTTCATTAATTTAATACGAAAAGTGAAAGAGATTCATTAAATGCTGATTGAGATATTTCCAGTATTTATTTCCATGTTTATTACTTACAGCTTAAGATAAATGCTTCCCAGAAGTCCTAGATACTCTGTGAGGTTTACCGACCAATCAAGCACAGCGATACTAAAGTTTATTGCTTATTGAAGCAGATGTTTGGACTTTGAATTCTAAATCTCCACAAAACTTTGTCAGTAGATGGAGGCATAAGTCCTAAATCCTCTGGTAGACAGTCTGACTTTAGACTTCAGAAAATATAGTAGATCAACACCAGCAGAGGAAAAGGCTCCTCAAGTATAAAGTCTCCTGAATGGACCTCTAACAATAACATGGACTCTTTATCTCTCCAATCCATCTCCTGCCTCTTGGGCTTTGATTTCTGTGTAATATTGAAAAATGTACTTAAAGTGAGGAAAATAAGTATTTTAGCACCCTGCTATTTTGCATGTTAGCTTATAAATCATGGAGGGGTCTGACATTGTCGTGAGAGACATAATCTTAACAAAAAAAAACAAAAAAACGCAATGTATGATTTTTTTTTTTTACTATTTATTTGTATGATACAGCTGCAAATAAGTATTTGAACTCCTGAGAAAATCAATGTTAATATTTGGTATAGTAGCCTTTATTTTCAATTCAAGAGGTCAAACTTTTCCTGTAGTTTTTCACCAGGTTTGCACACACCGCAGGAGGGATTTTGGCCCACTCCTCCACACAGATTATCTCTAGATCAGTCATGTTTCTGGCCTGTCACTGAGAAACATTGTTTTGGAGCTCCCTCCAAAGATTCTCTATTGGGTTCAGGTCTGGAGACTGGCTAGGCCACGCCAGAACCTTGATATGCTTCCTACAGAGCCACTCCTTGGTTATCCTGGCTGTTTGTTTCGGGTCATTGTGCTGTTGGGAGACCCAGCCTCCAACCATCTTCAATGCTCTGAGGGAAGGAAGTTGTTCCCCCAAACACTCCCAATACATGGCCCTGGTCATCCTCTCCTTAATACAGTGCAGTCGCCCTGTCACATGTGCAGAAAAACACCCCATAGCGGGATGCTACCACCCCCATGCTTCACAGTAGGGATAGCGTTCTTGGGAGGGTACCTATCGTTCTTCTTCCTCCAAACAATTAGGACCAAACTGTTCTCTTTTGGTCTCATCTGACCACATTACTTTCTCCCATGACTCCTCTGGATCATCCAAATGGTCATTGGCAATTTCAGACTGGTCTTGACATGTGCTGGTTTATGCTGGGGAACCTTCCATTCCATGCATGATTTCAAACCATGACGTCTTAATGTATTACCAACAGTAACCATGGAAACTGCGTTCCCAGCTCTTTTCAGGTCATTGACCAGCTTCTCCCTTGTAGTTCTGGGCTGATTTCTCACCTTTCTTAGAATCACTGAGACCCCACGGAGGTGAGACCTTACATGGAGCCCAAGTCTGAGGGAGTCATGTTTAGCTTCTTCTATTTTCTAATGTTAGTTCCAACAGTGGAGCTTTTTTCACCAAGCTGCTTGGCAATTTCCCCGTCCTTTGCAGCCTTGTGGAGGTGTCTTTGGTCTTGGCCACGTTAGTAGTTGGATTCTTACTGATTGTATGGGGTGGACAGGTGTCTTTATGCAGCTAACGACTTCAAACAGGTGTATCTAATTAAGGATAATAAATGGAGTGGAGATGGACATTTTGAAGGCAGGCTATCAGGCTTTTGAGGGACAGAATTTTAACTGATAGGTGTTCAAATACTTATTTGCAACTGTATCATACATATAGTTAAAAAAAAAAGATCATACATTGTGATTTTTTGATTTATTTATTTTATTTTAGACTGTCACAGTGGATATCCACCTACAATGACAATTTCAGAGCCCTCCATGATTTCTAAGTGGGAGAAATTGAAAAATAGCAGGGTGTTCAAATACTTATTTTCCTTACTGTATTTTCCTAATTTAGCCTGTTTTCTCATTTTTCCCTGATAACTGTTTTAGTGTATTTGGTTCAAAAGTAACTAAGGAAATTAAGAGTTGAGAGTTTCCTTCCAATTAACTTTCCTCAATCAAGTTTGGAAACACTACAGTACTGATCTTTTATTTCTTGGTGGGTGTCAAGACTAACAAGAAAGTAGTCCCTAATGTAACATTCCTTTTCAAAATCCCTCTTTAAATTGGTCTTATCTACTATTTGACATTTCTGAGAAACTAAATTGGGATTTATTTGACTTTAAGCCAGGTCAAAGGTTAACAGAACTGTATCAATAGGTGTAATAAGGACAAATTGAATTAAAGCAATGAATTAAATTTTCATTTTAATTGTTTGAAATGTACCTGTACAGTTGAATTGAAAGCTTCCTGGTCAATTGAAGCTGTGTTTTTACTGCCAGTGGTGCAGTAAAAGTGGAAAACAGTCCAGTTCTAAAATGATAAATTTAAAATCAGAATCTCCTCTCTTCATAAAGGACATTATGGCATTACTGAACCACAGAAAACTCTGGTGCCTTTTATTTTGCCCTGGCTGCAGCAGATGACCTTCTAAAAAGTAGCCATATCATTAGACGGGCCACCAATTTAAAAAGAAGAAAATAACTTTTTTTGGCATTAAGGCTTACAGATCAGTCGCTGCGCACTGTAACTTTGCAACACAGATGAGTACCTGCAAACTGTGATGTTTAGAAGTGTTAAAGCACCAGGGGAGTTTCCCATTAGTAAAAAAAAAAAAGTTCTGATTGTGATTCCTTTGTTGTCGAATGATATTTTCTGAATGCTGTAACCTGTTTTGATTCCAATTTTTTTTAGATTCGTTAGGTGCCATTTGACAGTCTGGTGAGTCATGGCCAACTGTAGCACACTGCTCAATGCTGGGACAGGCATCAAGCTGTGGCATTTGGAGAAGCCTTTTTATTCACCAAAATGTGTATATCAAATGAAAAGAAAAAAAGTTCTATTTATTTGTTTCCTGATTATGCGTTTTGTTCATTTAGTGAATATTTTCTCGGCTCTATTGACCTTCAGTGCTTTTTGTGATTTCTTTCTCACTCTTTTGGATAATGTATAGTACCTGATATAATATATACAAACTTCACGTGACCTTTCTTTTGATGTCATGAGTTTGCTACAGACATGTATATTCTGAAAATTGGCAAGTGAACTGACACGTGTTGTGTATTTTACAGAAAAAAAACAAAAACAAAGGACAATTGGGGGACTTTTATATTGACAAGGACTTTATCATTTAGTGTGTGGTATTAATGATAGAAACTATTATGACATGTAGTTTTGTTCTCTGAATATTTCAGATCTCAGCTCAGGCTAGCTTTTAGTGTTGGTTTCCTTAAAACTTGTGATTTGTCTTTGCAGTAAATAAACGTTTTCTTGTTCACTTGTTGTGCTGGCTCTTAACTCGCATACAAAACAAAGGACTTCTGGTTAGCCCATTAGATTTAAACAAGTAAACGCCAATAGCATTTCAACTCAGTGAATTCAGTTTATTACATTAAAGATGAGCAGGAAGTTTCGTTTTTCTTTTAACATTTTGCAGCTAGGTAGGAAAAAAAGTGTATAAAATACTGCCACAAGTGTTGGTTAACAGATTTGAATATTCTGATCAATCATGCTGGGTAAAACATGAAAAAAAAAACTTAATACTGAAACCACCTCAGTCTGGTTATTTCCTATAGCCTCCAATATATACTTATCGTTATGGCTTACACTTCCTCGCAGTTCATTTAACACTTGTTCATATGTTGATTTATTTATCACTCATTTTCTTACATTTCAGCCACTGTAATGTAATCTACCACCCAAACCACCTTCAGTATGAAAGATTTGACATTTTGGGTTTACAGCAAATTCCTCTCTTCCACAGACTGTAATAAGTAGAAATATCAACTATACTAAGAATACATGGATACAGCAAACAAAACTTAAAAAATAAAAACTAATAAAGTGCTAATGGACACCTAACCAAAGACAAAGGATGATATTTCTGTTGGTGTGTAAATGTTTTAAATTGTGTTTAAAAAAAAAAAGAAAAACAATTCACATGTGTAGTAATACTTTTCCATGGTGGTTAAAAACAATAAAATGGTGCTGAAAGATGCTCTAAAATTTACTGTTTTAAACCTAAAAGAAGATATAAAAGAAACTGTTAGCTTTGAAATCGATTTTTTTCTTTTAAAGATGTTTTACAAGAGCATGAGTAACATACAGTTTTCCACACGGGCCCCAATCTGAGAGGGAAGGACTTTTTTAACCCAACATACCAGCAGTATACTCCCAATTAAAATACACTTAGGACTAACAGACACATTGCAGTTAAATGATTCAAAATATTTGATTTATTCAGTATGAAGACTTTGATTGCTTCTTTTTAATTCATACAAGTTAATAACTAGCGCAGCACTTTATTGTGCATGTTTCTCGTATGTTTTCAAATTACCGTGATGTGTTCAAGTCCTGAAATATAGTCAGCATATTTCCAGTTTAGAGTATATTGCTGGTCTTTAGGTCCATTCTTCTACTACAAGCTGTACAGAACTCATATGACTGCAGTCCTCCTTTAATCACTCCAGGCCTATAGATGGAGTGGTTTGATGATAAAAGTATTTTTCTTTTGTTTGGTTTTTGTTTTTTTTACATTTTCTATAGATTTTCTTTTTTTTTATCAGTTTGTTGAATTTTACTTCAGTCAAGAGGTTGAGGGTCAGCTATGGGCATGGTGTGCAGAACTTCATCTAGAAGCTGCAGAGCTCGGTGTAAATGGATTTCGATCCAACAGGGGGTCTCTTTGATGCTTTGCCGTGGGTAGTCGGGCCCCCAGCCTTTTACAAAGCTCATGCGCAGAATACACAGCCTGCGCAGGTCGTCGACTCCGATTCCCGCGGCGGCAGACAAACCTGTGGAGGAAATTATGGACAGAACAGACATCTTAGTTGCTTTGCATGCAGTGCTGCAGCTATAAAGCAGAATTATCACAGCACAAAAACTCACTTCTTCAATAAGCATTTTTACTCATTTGAACAAACTAAAATATCTAATTTAAGTTAAAAGTAAAAACCTTGAAAAGTCAACAACATGGCTACCTGTGCTTACATTACAAAATGTGAAAAGAAAATGTTAACCCACTTTGATTCAATCTATTTCTGCTTTGTTGCAATGAAATGTTTTTTTCAGGATCAAACACAGTTGAAGGTCAAATACAAAAGTACATAAAAAAGCAGTTTGACTGAGCCCATGTTGGTAGTTTGTCAAAACCTTCAATCAATCTTTTACTATACAAAAGAGGTCTTGTCGTTCACTTTTTACTGCATGCAGTCATACCACAGCATCTCCATTAGATTTAGATCAGAATTAAAAAAAAATTTTTCAACTTTTATTTGATTCAATGCAATATAGACTGGATGTTGTACTTCAGGATTTTGCATAATCAAAGTTTGCTTAAAGTCTCCCAATAATTAGCGGACATACTCCTTCGGGAGCTTCTGCTTGACACTGAATTAATGGTTCCCCTTCTTACCATTCAGCTCTAAAGCAGCACCTTTCACACCGTCACTCAGAAGTTGTTCTGAGCCCACAGGATGAAGACATTTAAAAAGTTAATTTAATAATTCCTGCTTATAATAAACACCTGACACAATGTAGAAAGTATTTTCCTCTAGTCTGTGCTGTCAGTTGTTTTTTTTCTCCTCTCAAGCCACTCTATAATTTTCTTGGTTGTAGCGCTTTGCACCACCATGAGAAAGTCCCTGATACTACTTAAGACTCAATCCCCCACAGACTGTGATAATGACAAGCAATCATAGTAATACACTTCTTGGAGGCCAAGAGCAGCAGTGGGAGCACTCACTGATGGCAGGGGCAATGCCTCCCACAGAGCCGGGGCCCGGAATGTTCCCAGCCACGGCTGCCGCCTGAGCTGCAGCTGCCGCCTGAGCCGTCGCCGCCTGCTGTTGCATCTGCCTGTGGCACTGGCGTAAGTCGAACACCTGTCAATGTTCAGAGATGCAACATCTGTTTGTGAGCAAAGTGGTTCTAAATGAAACAACACAAACAATAAAACAGGACATAAAGCGCAGCATTTCAGACAAACTGTAGGCCATAAACAACTTCTAATATTAGTTTATTGGGTTTATGTCCCGTTACTAACATTTCAAAATTAATGCTGTTACAAAAAAAGTAGCATTGTGCGATTCTATACTAATTATTTTACCAGGTAAACAATTCTATAGTCCATCAAACATTCAGCAGCTAATCATTTTGAACATAGTCTTCAATGCTGTTCTTCTAAAGCAGCAGGGTGGCTTTTTTTCTTACTCTACACCTTCAGTCTGGACCCACCATAACAATATTTGTGTTATCATTAGCCACATAAGCATCCAATGACTTTACAAACAAATGAAGAAATGAAGGAGCAGAGTATGCGGAGTTGTTTTGTTGTTTCATCATTTAACAGCAAACTGAAAGGAAGAAAGAATCCTTAGCACCCAACCATCATCGGGCTAACTAAGCTAACATTTACACTGACAGTGCTACCGTACGTCATCAGAGAGGTTCGTTTCAAATCCAGGAACTTTACCGGATTGTTTTGAGAGCAAACTTTTATTTTCTGTTAAATATCAATGTGTGCCTCGTGTAGATTTCCTAAGAACAGTATTGTGTTTGCATTTTCAGCTATAAAGGATTGTTTTTTTGATGAACTCAAACAACAGCTCATTATTTTAGTCAGTTGAGCTACTGCAGCACTGAAGGGAGGGTCTGACTGCCTCCACTGCTGCTGGAAGATTTTACCAAAATTTAGGCAAATTTGAGTAGGTTTATACCCATATATGGTATATAGTTTTATTAATTTAAATCTGGAAAGTATATATATATATATATATATATATATATATATATATATATATATATATATATATATATATATATATATATATATATATATATATATATATATATATATATATATATATATATCTTTGCTTTATTTCAAAAAGTCCATGATTTTGATGACTGACATTTCTAGATTCCTTAGTGGTCTTAGTGGTATGAAAGGTACAGTTTGGTGGTTTGGACAATCTCAGGTTAAATACTCAAATTTCACTCAAGACTTTACAAGAACCCTGCTGTAGAACAGTGTGCTGCGGTCTCACCTTGATGTAAGCACTGGGATAGATCTTATGAACAGCGTCGCCCGGGGCGCGCCCTGCTTCTCGATCCAGATAATAGCTCTGAACAAACACCGCATGGTCGCTCAAACAGCGCACCCACACATCGCCTTCACCTTTGCATTCCAGCTGCACACCTTTGCCAATGTGAAGCCTAAAAGTTCAAAGAGGTCAAAAAGAAAGTTATGGATATTTTCCAATTTATACAATATAGAGCTACTGTTAAACAACATAGAAGGTATGTTTTAGTATTAGCAGTCACCTTGCTCTTTCAATATTCTCCGTCCTGTGGACATTACTCAGCTGACCCAGACAGAAGCGGTCTCCTCCTGATGGATCCACATAACCATCCACAGTGACAATCGGACATGTAGATGGCACCTTGAATGTCTCCCCAACCTGGACGTCCATTTCAAAGTACGCAATGGAGCACCAATATTCTGGAGCTGGAAGAACAACTCCTGTCAGTGGATTTGCACTCCGGGTATATCAGTTACGTCCTATTTTATACTCACCAGGGTGGTTTGATATAGGGGGCTGGAATGCAATTTCATTGGTGACAGGCCCTGGAGTCAATAAAGGTTAGCTTTAGTTTTTGATCAACACACCTTTTCATTTAAAGCATAACAAAAATTAGGAAGGAAAAAAAAATCTATGAACAGAATTTCATTGGATACTTGCATTAATTCTAAATGTACATCGATCCTCAGTTGAGATCTGCTTTAGTATTTGGTTTATAGCTTATGAAATTTTGTCAAAGTTCAGATTTAAAAGACTAATGTTGCTTTATTTAATAAATGAGTCAATATAAGAAATGTAAATCCTTCAATACATTCAAGTCTTTCTAAAGCAAAAATATCCCCTACAGCTACAGGAGTCTAACAGCCTGCTGATCAACTCACATTATTTAAGCACTATCTTCTCCTTTTATTTTAAAAAGGGGAAGCTGAGGCTCAGAAGAGAAACTTGTGTAAAGACTTTTGGTGTTTTAAATTTTCTAAATATCTTAGTGCACTCCCCAAACTGTTTTAAACACTAAACCTGTTCAATAAACACTGGTATTTAAAAGCAGAGTTCAAGCTGTGCGATTCCTGACTTTTACTTACAGTAATGGCCTGCGTGCGGCATGGGTGGGTGATGCTGTAGATGACCATTCTGGTGTTGCGGCACTGCTGGGGGGAAGCTGCTGTTTCTGCTCCAGTTGGGAGTGGGATCTTAGAAACACACAAACAGGAAACCAATGTTTGCAAAATGTTGATGTACAGTCATTCGCTTTGTCAGTGTCTCTAATAGGTTAAACAGCACTCGGAGCACTAGCTTGGAGAATCAGGGAGAAATTCTAGTAGACGGATTAAGAAGATAAAACCTGACATTTAAATTAACTATACAAACATGCTGGGTCTCTGATATTAAATTTAACTACATATTTTTGTTTTAGGGTGGTTAAATCTCTGAAATCATTTCTAAATAAAAAAGCTTCCCAGTATCTATCTATCATACTGGGAAGATGGAGTATCTATCAAAATCTATCAAAGTAAAATTACTGCATCTTTAAACTATTTAAAATTCCACCAAATGAAGATCCTATGGAAATACACTAGATATAATATAATGTCCTGTTTAGACAAACTGTCATTATGTGTGACAACATGGAAAAACAACCAAAAAGTCATCACGAAGAGAACCGTGGACATCCAAAAGGCTGGTTCATCCTCAGGTATACATTAATAATGATGCGAGGTTGGTCTGTTCAAAGAATTTTACACAGGCTGGGCATCATGGAAATGTTCAGCATTTTTAAAATGTGCATTGAACATTATGTGGAAATAGTGGATCTCAAGTCATTGGTCCTCGAAGTGGACAAAGAATCTAATTCATACCACCAAATTCATCACAAGTGACCCAAGGAGAAACAAAGAAGCAGCTAGGGCTGGGTACCGAACATCGGTTCTTTTATGGTACCGACCGAAATGCTTCAGTTCTACAGAGTATCGAAACATGCCTCGTCTTTCGGTACCAAGTTTCGGTGATTGGCTGTAACACTTAACGTGATTGCGTCATCCAGGAAAAATACATAGGTGGTCACGCCTACAGCCAGGGTTCATGTGTATCTGTTGTGAACTGGTTGCGAGCATCGTGGAACCCCTTTAAAATGCCCCCCAGGTCAAAAGTGTGGCTTCACTTTATTAACACTGATGCCAATAGTGCGCAACGCAATACATCGTGCACGGAAAAAATTTAAGAGCAGAAAGTTGCTCGGTGTTTGACTGCAAGAAGAGCGGACTGCAGCCGGCGCAACCATCCTCCTCTCATCAGCCCGTGGGCAGAGCAAAGCCAGAGCAGAGTTAATCATGCTGCTTTCAAACTGGACGCAGCAGGAGCAGCAAAATCACGTCTGCTGCTTCATTTTTGCTGCTTGTACCAGTTAGTTCTGACGCGCGGCTGAAGCAGCCTTGCTGCTCTGGCTGCGCGGTCGAAAAGTGGATCTGACGCGCATTGGGCGGAGCTACTCTATCCTTTCTCTGCCTTGCAGCTATATTTGCTGTGATCAGTGGGAATAAAGTAGTTTTATTATGTTTTTAAGTGAGAAAATACACCTGAAAACTTAATCAGTGCAGTCAGTTCATCCTGCCTTCCAATATTTCTGTCGGAGCCGCTCAGACCCCCACATACCAGCGGTGCGCTGTCAGTAGGATCCCATTCAACGGGCTCGTTTGTCTCCTGAGAAAGCATGTTACATGTTAATTTTTCTAAAGGAAAACTGCTAAGTAAAAAGGTCCTTACAATGTAACACTGAATATTAGACACTGAATTTTTTTTTTTTTATGTAAGAGGAAAAATGTAAATGGAAAAATCAGAGCTTAAAATAAAACTCAAGATTTGTACTTTTTAATGTTGTGTAATTTTCTTTTTCTTCGAATCGATATAAAACTGGTATCGAAAAAAGTATCGTTCAGGAACCGGAATCGAAGTGAAGGTATCGGTATTGGTACTGGCACCGAAAATTTTTTAACAATACCCAGCCCTAGAAGCAGCCATGACAAAGTCTCCATCTTAAGCCACAGAGAATTTGTGGGAAGAGCTCAAACACTTGCATAAAAAAAAAACTTCAGGTGGAATTCTCATGGAGTTTCTATGTTCCCAATCACACAAGAATCTAACTTGTACCGCTCCTGCTTAACGAGTTCAAGAACCGTCCAGAACAGGTCGGCCAACAGGATGTAGTATCATGGTCTAACAGCTGCTGAACCAACAACTGAGCCAAATAAAAATAGAAGTGCAGGAGGACCACGGTTTAGCTGCTGCTTTCATGTCTGATCAGAAACATTTCATCACCTTGTTGAGGCAAAGATGTTTCTAGCTTTTCACCTTGTGATTGGCTAAACTAAACTAAAACTAAAACTTGGCTAAAAATATCAACTCATCTGAACTAATCCAGAATGCTGCACATTAACTATCTGGTTTGCCAAGTTAAGGCTTGTTCACCAATGTTTTAAAATGTCAAGGCAATCCTAACATATACAAATAAAAACTACCGCAGATTTATGTCTAACTTTATTGAATGTAATAAAACTGCACTGTAAGGTATTTTGCCGTTAGGAGACTACATGTAATTTTGGTAATATTAAACGCCTGAACGTGGGAAAGTTTTCTTATGCAAGACTGTAAGAAAAATTGTTTTTGTCTAATAATAGTGTAACTACCTGGTATCAACTGCTTATAGCATTATAATCTGAACAATTTTGAAACATTAGTTTTGTGTTAATCGGTTTTTATATTTTTTTTTTTGTGATTATTTAAAGTGGGATGAAACTAAAGAGTCAAATAGGGCTTATTACTTCTTACAGTCACACTTCAAAAAGACAAGAAAATTCCTAAGTGGGGTTTCCAACCAAAACATTTAAAAAATGTAATCTTGTAATGGATTATAAGAATAAAAACAATTATAGAAAGTTCATTTAAACAAAATGCAACAGAAACAAAGAATATTTGTAAGTAATGGCTTCTTTTTTTTTTACGTTTCCCAAGATTTTGTCAGCTTTTTTTTTTTTTTTGGGAATTTCATATAATTTCACAATAGAATCTCCAGACAAAAAGCTTGTTGATTTGTAAACATAACCTTAGGGAACCCCTCCTCTAAAGGACCTGTGGCAGCTGATTTTACAAACTTATGGTTACTTTTTTAATTTGTCTGCATTAACTATAATCATATCTCACTTGATGGTCCAGCACTGATGGTAGAGAAAGCAGAAGACGAAGCTGAAGTGCTGCCCTCCGACGGGGGAAGCAGAGGGGGGCTGCTGAACGTATCCTGTGGAACCGGCCTGGATGGAGGATGCTGGATTGTCTGCAGGTGGCTTTCAGAGCTGGCGTGCGACTGCTGGTTTTCATATTCAAACTCGTCTTTTACTATTAGTGGACCTGGCAGAAAACGACAGACATGATTAAGACTGATGAACGTCTATAAAATCTTAGACGAGGAAAGGGAAAGCTTTGTACCTGAATTTGAAAGGGTCAATGTTGATAAGTCTGCAAACACATTAACACAAATTAAATATATAAATCAGTGATCTCTACCCCCTTTAAACTGAAGTTATTTTTACAATAATGTCTATATAACTGAACTGGTGAAAATGGGATCTTAACTCACCAATTCCTGGAGAAACAACCCTCTCGTAGTGGTATGGGTTGACACAGACGCTGTCGCATTTCAGGTCAAAGGCATACTGGCAATATTTTACATGTTTCAACTCATTCTTGTGTAGATCTGGCCATCGCCACAGTCTGGCATAGACCACATGGGGGAAACCTTTACGCCCTGCAACCTATACAACAAAAGAGAGCTTATAAAAGTCAACCCTCCTCACAATTTACATCAGGTGACACTGGTAAAGGAGACGTTGTAATACCTGTAAGCGTCCATCCAAAGTTCGCTGTATGGTTACACACTTGCTAGGATGAGCCCCATTTGTAGTGATGGCAGTAATAAGAGAATCCAGCTCATCTTTCTTCTCCTTCAGCTTCTTGACAAGACTCTCAATGGCCCGCTTTGCAAAGCTTTCACTTTCCCCTCCCTGTCGGTGGCACATGAGGCTGTGCACGATGCTAAGGCAAGCATCGTTGCTGGTAGGAGTGTTTGTGATTGACATCTTGCCTCGCTGTTTTCAGCACTGGGTGGGCTTTCCAACTGCGTCCTTTATGGGGTTTTTTGTTGTTGTGATGACAACAAGAAGTTAGTCCTTTGCCTAAAGTAGCCCACGTTTAGCCACCTAAAACAAACAGAAAGTCAGTGCTGTTTTATGGCTTACAATTTTAAAGCAAAGGTAGTCATTGGAAAGCAATTTGTTTATATCAAAATAGACAAACATACAAAAGTAAAAAAAAAAAAAAAAAACTATTACATTTCTTCCATTATTTCCACCCAGGCAAAAAAAACATTTTTTCACTCTTTATTAAAGGTAACCAGTTTTTATTTGGTCCTAAAAATACTTCAAACCCAGAGCTATTCTAATCATATGGTGAATCAGATTATATTGACATGTACTGCCTCACAAGAAACCCTGTATAGAACACTGCAATTAACGTCTGTTAGAAGTGAAAAATTTTATAATTTCTTAAAATAGACAAATTAAGTTTCTGCTACATATGTATCCAACAGCTTAGCTACATTGTCTTCTTATTTCTTACTCTTTAGTAGCTTACTTTTTTATTTTAATACAGATTATATGCTGTTTATGTGAACCACAATGACACAAAATGTTCTAAGGAATCACATATAGGTTAATGATAAAACAATGATTACAGCAAGTCATCATACATCTATTAAATTACAGTGTGCAAAACACATTGAAGTTAAAACGCACCAATTTCTAACAAGAACATTGTTTAATTCATGTCAATTGATTTGGAATTTTAAAAAAAAACGTGTTTTTAATGGAAGAGATGTTTATATATTGTCAAAATTTTGTTGAATTTTATGTGTGCAATGTGCTCTGGGTGTTTTAATGCAGAATATACAGCATTACAAGAGGAAAGCTAATTAAATCTATGATCTAAGAATGTAAAATCCAAAGTATAACTCAAAATGCACCATTGTACATTACCTTTAGATAAACGAGCTATTTTCATATGATACTTTGGAATACTTAAATAGACAAAATAATCCTTGGTAACAGCAAACACTGTTTGAGTGTCTGTCATGATTGACTCACACCTGAACCTTCGGAGGCACATAAAGGCAGGTATTAAGTCAGCTTTTTATCACCTGAAAAACATTTCCAGGATTAAAGAACTAATATAAATGCAGGATCTACAAAAACTCATTCATGCATTTATTTTAAGCAGAATTTATTAAAGCAACAGTGTCTGCATAGGTTTAACTATAATGTCCATCAGACACCTGCAATTGATCCAAAAGGCTGCTGCCCACGATCTCACTAAAACTAAGAAAGTAGAGCACATCAGCTTTGTTCTGAAGTCCATACACTGGCTCCCCGCTTTATAGAACAGACTCCCATTTGTTGCACCTGCTTTTGACAGTTGAATTTAACTGTTAATTAAGGTATTATTAGTTTAAGATTATGATCCAACTGTTTTACTACCTGCTTTTATCATGTATTTATCTGTATTTGCTTTTACTCTTTTATTTTTGTTCCACTTCATTGTGTAATTCATGTAAAGCACTGTCCATATATTAAATTGTAGCTGCTATATAAATAAACTTGCCTTGCCTAAGTAAATCATCACTGAAACTAATGCTGAGTTCAATGTGATGGAAATGAGAACTGGCAACCTCCTGTATCAGCACCTCAGCCCTCAACTATGTTCATATAAATGAATATCTTGCTTTGACCAACAACAACAATCGTTTAAGAATTCAGCGACTAGATCCTTTATAAATTAAGCTGTACCAATAACACTTTGCTAGGGATAGCCAAGGTGGCTAACCTACCACTGCTAAGGACCATATTAACTAAAAACGGTTAAAAACATTTTTTTTCTTGTATAAACCTTGAACACATAGCCTCGACATATTTTACAACTACGAAATATATGTACAACTTTGCTAAAAAAATAAATAAAATTATATATAACTGTTATTATAGAGGGTACGCTAGCGTGGCTAAGCTAACTAGCTGCTGTGTTAGCTTAAGCTACTATTTATCAAATGGCTAAAAGAGTATTTAAATCTTATCAGTCGAATACGATTTATTTTACTTACAGTAACCAACTGGGCAGCAGCGTAATTCCACGCGTAGATGATGGAGTGAAGGTAGTTTTATCTTCCTCAAATCTGACAGGCTATCTTATTGTCGATAGCTTGCTAGCGCAGATGAGCTAACCAGCTTCACGCTAACAAACCTTCCCTTCTGTTGTCCCGTAAATCCAGCATCCCACGAAGTTATGAAACCACCGACCAGTCTTCAAGCAAAGGTTCAAACCAGAACACTTCATTCAAATTTTGTCCGTATTTTCAGTTAACATCAACCCGCTGAATGACTATCTAGCCACGAAAATAAACAAAATCTGTCCTCCACCCACTAGGCTTGGACTCAACCGTGACAGGCGTGGCGCTGCGGTGCTGCTCGTTTCAATGCATTTTGGAAAGGATAATAATCACGGTTTCCATACAGGTAAGGTATGTATGGAAGCCCGTTTCCGCCACTCTGTAAAAAAAAAAAAA